AGAAGAGATATTGTTGCGTTGGACTCCTTCTCTAGTGTGAACTGGATTACTGGATGGCAACTGTTGAAGAAGTCCAATGTGTTCTCCAAAGTTTCCTCATTATTGGCGATAATAAAAGTATCGTCCACGTATCTCTTGTGGAATCCGAAGTTATCTATTATCTTCTTTAGGTGTGTATTTTCTAGTTTTAACATGAAAACATCTGCAAGCAGCGGGCCGAGTGGTGAACCCATAGCTATACCATCTTTTTGTCGATATATTTCATTATTGAAAGTGAATTGGACGTTTAGAGTACATCTTAATAGGAGTTCCTTCAAATATTCAGTGGGTATACCAATGTTCATATCCTTTGAATCAATATATTCACATACATAGCATATTGTTTCGGTTAGTGAGACGTTTGTAAACAGTGATACCATATCTAGTGCAACTAGCAAGACGCGAACAAGATGGGACACTCAAAAGATCCATCCACAGAAAACCGACATGGAATGGACAACTCATCAGCTTTCACAGTTGGGTGCCTATACATACAAAACGAAATCTGATCCGCTCACTGACTCACAGAATCCACAACATTTGCAGTCCGGAAACTATAGAAGGAGAGCTGAAGACTCTGAAAAGAATCCTCCTTGAAAACGGTTACCCGGAACGTTTCATCACAAAAGCTATGAAGCCCAAAACACAAAAACCATCCATGCTTACTGCTCCCAAGAAACTTCTCTGTTTGAATCTACAATTCAACGGAGATTCTTCAGCAGAAATACTGAGAAACCGCCTATGCCGTTCACTGAAGAAAACCATCTTCGCAGCGGAACTCAGACTAACTTTCTCTACAAAACCAATGATTCGCACGAACGTGAAGGATAAGCTTCCACTGGGGGCCTCATCAATGTGCATCTACCAATTCACCTGCTCATGTGGAGCTAGGTATGTCGGCCGTACCCAGCGTTTGCTATCCAAACGAATCAGCGAACACTTACCTTCATGGTTTTACAAAGGAGAAAGAAGATCCCCCCGCCACAGCTCTATCCTAGAACACTTGATCGAATCCGGACACCAAGCAAAACCACAAAATAACTTCTCAGTTATCTACACAATACGTGGAAATCTTGCCAAAAGAGTACGAATTAAACTTCTTCAAACTGCAGAAGCAATGGCAATTCACATATTGAATCCTGAACTCTGCATATAAAAGAAGTTTGTTTAGTCACTAAATCTACAATGGTCCTGATCTATCTTAACACCAAATATGTAATTTTGTCTTACCTCTTTCTTCTTTGTTTGTCTATTTCTTAATTGCATTATTTTCTACCCCCACCCTCTATTGAATCTCTACGCTCATGACGACTGTTGCTAACTCGATTTTCGTTTATTTTTAAGTGAATTCTACTCAGATTGTTAACTTGACTCTCATTCATTTTCAAGTGAATTCTACTCAGATTATTAACTTGAATCTCATTCATTTTTTCATTGAACCCTATCAATTAGATTACGTCACCCAACCTACTTTTGTAACTTTATTTTAGTTTCTAACCGATTAATGCCTTCTAAATTACGTAATTTGTTTGTCAAAAATTAACAATTGCATTAACACATCTTTGGAAATATTCCTTTTGTTGCCAAGACAAATTACTATAAATTTGCGATTTGTACAGCTTGAGAATGATATCGCCGAAAAGAGTAACTCTTTGCTGAACATCTTTTCTTTGCGGAAGGATTATTATTATTTACTACAACGATGATGTGAGCAAGTTTTTTTTACTATGCTTTGATGTTCTGCTCTGAGATGTCATGTCGATAAATGTCATCACAAGTGCTTATTTTCTTTTATATTCACTGGTGAATTATTTTAAACTAGCATTGTAGGGAAGTGATTTGAACTCACTCACTCACTCATTCACTCACTTACGAAACAAAATTATTGATTTCTTATTTCGACTGCTTTTAGCGATGAATATTATTCTGACGAAAAATCATATTTGACTAATAGAAATTAGTAGGAATCAGTATCACATTTCTAGTTGTTTTTTGTTCAAATCAACCGAGCAAATAAATCAAGTATCAATAAGCATTTAATCATTTATTGATTGGAATGTAGAATTCATCATATATCGACATTATTTACAGAAAGTCTAGGCAGTTGTTTTGTTCTCGTTGGGCACATCCTTATCAGTGCACATGAGTGCATATCACTGGAGAATCGAACTCTTAACGTTTAAGTTGCGAGATTAACCCTTGCAGAATTGTTGATGTACACTTCTGATGGCTGCCGTACTTAGTGTGAAATAACTGTTACATTATTTGATCTATTCCGCAATGCTCAAATTTTTATTGACATTAATCTCATCTCTCGTCTATCTAATATGTGTAGGTATCCACTAAATCTGGCACTGATTAGCTTGAACCAGTTTGAAAGAAAGAATCAAACGATTGCTCCAAGGCAGGCAGAATACACTTATTATAATGCAAATGAATAGCCCTGAAGCCCACTCTCATACAACCAATTAATTCAGGTATTTATTGTCTTAACTTTCTGAAATCGATTGTTCCCAAAGACTTCTATCAGTCTATTTTCTATCTCTAGTCGTGTGGGTGGCAGAATTTAACTTTAGATGCCAACGTAGTATGAACACCACGCCAATGACCTTGAATGTAACAATTGCGCATTATATAGGAAACTTGAATTCTTCCTTAACCTCAGCCATGATGTTTCCTTAACCAGAAAAAAAGGTAACTCTAATCTGTCACTTAGTTATCTCTAAACAACATAAATATTTTCCTAAATTAGGTTCATCTAGCCGCGATATGGATATTTTCCTAACCGAAAGAAAAAGTCAACCAGATAAAATGTTTAATACTAATTACAGTTCCCTCAAAATATTTTTATTGACATAGGGTTGTATATCTGATTCAACTTCTTAGTTCTGGTTGATGGTTTCAGAGTCAATTGCTGACTGACGCCTGCTGCCCGGGTGTCTAAAGATGGTCTTCACAATGTGTGTTGTAGGTGCCTTCAAAAAAAGGTAACTTACTTAATTGCATTTCACGATTGTACCCTTGTCACAGGATTGTTATTTGTACTGGTTGTATCAGCCCATGGCGATATTCAGCAAAGTTATTCAACGCAGACACTTTATTTCTGCACTTATATTATGATACTTCCTCCCGGTTTCTCTGTCTCTCGTAATACACAATTATTTCTAACTGACTGACTGGTATTTGTCCGTTGACTGGCACGAATCATTTAACAGTTGATACAATTCATAAGAAATTTAATCAAACAAATGTGCACGCACCCAAACAGCAGATTTTGTACTCTTTTCACATTGGAGTTGATTTCATTCAATCCTTATTGTCACGCTATAAAGAAATTGAGTGATTCTAAGTATACTACTTACTATTTAGTAGTAATACACCTATATTTTAAAATAAAGAAGTCACCTTACGAGGCGATATTCTAATGATTGTTCACTGTTTGAACTGAATAGTTTGTAGAATGTCACTGAGATCAGTTAGTAATGCGTGCCTGGTAGCCAGATCAGACTGATTTGAACAAACACCCAACTGTTGTTTCGTTCGTATGTCTTCAAGACGATCAGCGTGACACCAAAAATGGATGGTGCAGCCCATAGACAATGAGATTTTCGGTAACCCTATACATATGATGTAGCGAAATTTGTCGTGTTCTAGCATTCCACAATGCGACCTTTCTGTATAAAATAAACTCTGTGAATCCAGAACTCATTGGATGGTTTGATAAGGAATTTTTCAATGTACTGCTTGTGATAGACAGAATTGTGTTGACTAAGATATAATAAAGTGTGCTTTGGTGGCACAGTGGTTAGGACTATCGCCGACCATGCACATGGTTCAAGGTTCGATCCCCCGCCGACGTACACCTGATATCTATGGTCGGCCTGCAAAATTTGGGCGACCGATATCCATGCTGTAGTCAAAAATAAAAAATAAAGTTGAATCCTTTAGAACAGAGATTTGGCATGGTTTCTTTGTAGCCGAATTATTTGCAAAGATCCGTTAGGAAGTAAAACGCTATAGAGAATTTGTATTAACTTTCTGATACGCCTCAAACCCAGGCTTCCCTCTTTACGAGTCTTACTATCGACTAAGTAAGATTTAGGAATTGGCCATGTGGGTATCGAACCCTAGATCACAGTTCGTCTGACACTATGATATTTTGTACTCGATAAATAAAGAAAAACTGATACTGAAAAGTCATAGTTCAGTAGAGCAGCTAGGATCGTGTGTCTCCAGTGTCTGTTGCACGTATATTAGATAGGCTTGCATCAAAACTTACTTCAGTACAGCCTCTCCTACTGTGCTGTCACCTGCAAGCTGCTGCTAGTGGCACAAGAATTGAGATGGCGATCTATTTCCCACGTTCTTCTCTTAAATCAAAAGTTGTATTCGTTGATATCCAGGAGAAGAGGAGTGTCTGTCTTGCATATTCCCCGTTAATTGTAGCATCGTAGTACATTTCTATGGTGGTTTAATAATGAGTTATAACATTTGTATCATTTTTAGAGAAAATTTGCATTAAAGCCTTTTCTCAAGTACACACTACCGGTGACATTATATGCATAAAGTGTGTTACATTCGCTAGACTTTTATCCGAAAATGCTGCTTGATACACCATTTTTGTGCAGTGTGATAGATTAAAGAAGGCAGTAAGTTTAAAAGCTGAAACGTACATCACTGAATTTTCATAAAATCATGCTGGAATATTTTGATCTGAGCCGGACGATTATATTGCATATCCTGTTTTTAAGTGGCACCACGCCAACTATATCTAGTGATAATCAGGGCAATTCAGTAAATAGGAAATATGGACTACTTTTAGTGTAAGATGATAATAATAGTTACATCATCTGTATTTTAGTAAAGTACGCAGTTGCGAACCTAAAACATTAGCTCAATTTCACTTCTTCCTTTCAAACTCAATATTAACTACAATTTATAAGAAAAATACAGTTTATTATTAGACGTCTTGATAAACCGATTGTACAAAATCGTTTTAAACAACAATCCTTCTTATAGCCGGAAAAAGTAATTTGATGACGTCCGAAGGTCATCTGGAGTATCCCAAATAGGATGCTGAGGTGGAGAGATCTGTCGTACAGTGGCTGTTTCAGTGCTTTTATCACCTCTCTGAATACTATGCGGTTTATGGAAGCATTCATCAGAGACACGTCCCCTACTCTCTTTGTTTTCTTTATCCGAACTCGCCGATGGAATAGGGTAATAGTGCAGGCTAGTTGACGGTCTGCAAGCGTAGTTCTCAAGACTTCTGTGCTTCCCCCGACTCCTAATTTCTCCACCTTTGTATTCATCACGCTTCTTCATTCGCTTTGTATTTTCGTATTCATTCCACTTCGCCTCGATTAGCTTCGCGGAGAATTCGTGATCTAGTGCATCTTTCTTCATAAGTGAATATGGATTTTGAGATGTCTGATGAGGAGTTGTTGAATTCATCGATGGACAGGAAGCCTTTCCTGTAAATAACAGGGATGCCTTTTTAAGCTCACTACCACATCCTGCGTTGTGCGTATTCGATGTACAGGGCTTCAGTTTCTCCTCATCAGTTGATCTTTTATCTGATGTCTTCGCGTTTATTAGCTGCAGGAGTAGATAGGAGAGGAAGACAGAAAGAAAGAGAGATCATGAAATATTGGTCAACATCATGGAGAGTAAAACAACAGTGGAATGAGAAGCTTCGTCCAGTTTATTGATCCATAATAAACAATGGAATGGGCGAGTAGGGTGTGAGTATCGTGTTAAAGAAGCTACTCATCAACCCTTCTGGGAAATACACCTAATCACCACTACGGAATTGTCGAAGTGCCGAAACACGAACAATTAAATGAGAGACACCTTCGCTTCTGTGAAATCTGAGTTGAAACCTACTGCTCTCAGCATCGAGAACAACATGCAGACTATTATCTGTAATGTCGAATGGCTGATTCTACATCGTGCATCACGTAAAGCATTCCCAACAGCTAGCTACCCAGACGGAAACTTTTTTCTTTAGTTTCCTTCGTTAACTCATTATTCAACAACAACGAAATCTCACAAAGAACTAACCAAGATGCTGTTGTCCAGAAAGTACGTAGTGAAGTCGAGATTAATCAGAAATATTCTGAAGAGACATTCAAATGTCATCGCCCACTACATGCCTTAGTCCAGTAGAACCCCATTGGGAGACATCGAGTTCGAGATGTGTCCGAAAATGACGTGGAAATCATGGTGTATGGGGAGTCGAAGGACTAACCATAAGCAATGATGGAGCCGGTAAATGAATCACTGTGGGGAACAGGCTGTAGCCCTCCTTTCCTCTCGAAAACCAAGCGAATAGTCATTACAATACGTCATATAAAATATCCTATTACAGTGTATGAAGAAAGCCGCTCTAAACAGAGTGACATGGAAATGTTCTCCTACTGAAACCATTGGTCTCACAACACCCTCCTCGTTGATTTCAAGGTTATATTTAAAAAATATTCTTTAATAATAACAACTCACCACTTACACGAAGTTAACTTTCAAAACATTATCCACCCTAGCAAACATCAACTGTTTTCATCCCACAAATATGTGTATATATCGACTCTCCTCATGTACTTCAAACTAAGCATCAGAGGCGAACAGAGTTCATCAAATTCCATTGAAGCTGTCGATTGAGTAAAAAATGTCTAGAGCCTGACGCCTGATTGAAGGTACCTTGAAACAACTTTCCTAACCAGACAGCCAGCCAGCCAGCCAGCCAGAAAGCAAGCAAGGCAGTAGTAGTATTACTGTCGTGGTTAGATACAGGCAACGTGTTCCAACGGAATATTATTATTCTCACATATTACCACAGTTCATTACTGCATTGAAAACAGATCACCATATGTATTTGAACATTCTATTACATGTCGTTTAACGCAGACCGAAATCACACGCTCAGTGATTGGTTAGAGAACATAAACTGCATATATATATATATATATATATATATATATATATATATATATATACATAAATAGCGGTAGTAGCAGTAGTGTAGTAAGCGCGTCAAAGTTGAAACGAACCTCAGTTGAGCTGAGATGAGGTGTCAGGCTAGCAACTGTACACTAATCCGTGAAGAAGACGGAAAATGACAGCATGGCGTCCAATGGCATCACCACCACCTCCACTGAAACTTCCTTCCTCAAATCTTCAATCCACCTCACTTCCCATTCGGAAGTCAGAAAAATCAAGATAAAGATAGATACTCCAAGTTTTGAATCTTCTACGCTTTGCAAGACGAAATCTCTTGTCTATTGTACCCGTCGCTTTAATATTTGTAAATATGAAAGAGTATTATGTGTGAGCAGGGAACTCTGTATTGTACGTTTATCTCTTAACTTTGTACGGTTATTTGTTTTATGTAAACAGCTCTAATTTTATAGTGATTGGTTTCATTTGATAATGCTTCGTGTTATAATAATTATCAGATTGAAATGAGCAAGTACAACACGGAGTGTTTCACTGATCATAACGGTAAAGTGAAAATTTACAGTTTCTTGTCTGGTTTTATACCGAGAAAGAAATTTTCTCTTGGTTGGGTGAGGATGAAGGTGACCATTGGAATAGAGACACTGGGAAAATATCTTCGTGAACATAAAGATTTTGTTGAAAATTTCTCATGTAAACTTCATCGGCTATTCTCGGAAATGTAGAACACCTACACACGTAAAGAAGTGAGAGGCTAAACATTGTACAATGTAGTGTTGAAGGCCGGATTTTTATCAAACTTGAGCTGTGTATCCGACGCGTGCTCTGACCTTAAGACTTCTTATTTTTACCACCTTGAAAAGTGCTCGAGTGAGCGAAGTTGGACTAGTGGAAAGAGTGTTGTGCCTTTGTATCTGCTTTTACAGGACCGCTCTGAAGAATCCTGAATACACATTGAAGTGACCAGACGTGGTAATTTATCCTTCACAGGCATTGGAATTACAAAAGGATTGACGAGTTTTGAAGCTTTATATTGTGTGGTAACGAGTGGTTTGGCTATTATTATTTCTCTGAGGTCAGTCAATTGAGCTACTGCATCTCTTTTGAGCAACATCCACTCTCATCATGGACACCTACACAGATTTTCCTAGATAGTTGTTCTCAAATAATGTGTTCTCTCTCAATCTCTTTCTCTACTTTCCTTACTTGACCATCTTAACTGTCGGTTATACAGACGTCCCTACCACGAAATGTCACAGTACTGGTAAGGTTTCGTTTGGACACACGAGCAGTAAATGGTAGAAAATGTGTCCATTGGCTAGCCTGTCATCATCACTTCGATTATTATGCATTTAATTCTACTAAGCCACATCGATTTAATGTATGTGTCTAATGATTTCATGTGTCACAGTATTCCCTGACGAGAAGTCAAACAAACGTACGTGCTCGCTCAAATTGTGTTGTCTCACAGTGAACTGACTGAGTAGCATCCACGTATCGGTTGCATGAATCACTTGGAGATCAGGCTTAAAAGCACTTGATTTACACATGAATGAACTAATCAATCTAACACAGAGATATCGATATTGTTATGAAAAGACAGAGTGATGAGTCTGAAAATTGTGAAGTAAGCATTTCGAACAATGTCATCTCATCAGCTTGTGATGAACCATCTTTCACTCGGTCTAACTATAACACTCTTTAGAGCTGTATCTCTATCTGACACCGTCATGTGATTATGTATAGGGGCATTCATCTGTGGATCGAATTCTCAATCCTCAGTCTACACTGTTCGTCCGAGGACGTGACATTTCATCGGAGTTTCCTTCCGGAAGTCTGAATTGTGTAGATCACAATATGTGGTGTATTTGATACCGTAAGTGGTAACAGAGAAGGCAATCACAAATCCGGAAAACTATGCACTAATGATAGATCGAGTTTACTGACTGTATACGGTTTTCGTCAAGCAGTGGTCCTTGCTAACCAGTCAGACTGAAGTGATCTAAACACCTGACGGCCCGTTCACTCGTTTGTGGCCGAGCTCATTGCCAGTGTACCTGATGTGAATCCACCCAGACAGACGAATCACCTCAAATAACTCCATTTCTGACTAGATACTCAGGCGAACTCTTAACACGTCAACTCGATCTGGCTAGCAACCACTACTGGTTGATATGTGTTGTCTACAACCACTTAACCAATCGGTAATATGTAATCCTCCACATGTCTTTCAGCCTGACCTACAAAAATCGATGGATAATCCCTCACCGGGCAGATGTGACCACTCAAACATGAAATACCGTAAATACAGTGAGATGTGACACTAGCGTTATAATGTTGTGTAGACGGGTGTAAGGTGAACGTGGATTTCGCTTTTTCTACTACCATTGGCTCAGTCGCGTTGTGTTTCTGTGTTGCGTACCTGTGATTCTCGTTGTCTAGTGGTGATCACACTTTGGTAATCACTACACTTCAACGGTAATGTCGGAATGAAATTAACCAGCATACTGATAGGCCATTCAAGTACAGCTGGTAGAAATGCGTCAAAATACTAGTTCACTCACAACCCAATCAGTGTCTTTTGAGTGACTTAGCAACCTGTTGTTTGAAGTCGGTCATCATGATGATATATGATGCAGCATACAAGTCATCAATTCATGTGATCTAACTTTCCCACCATTTATAAGGGAGGACATTGTAACAGCATGTCATCATCCTCGTCTATGGGTGGAAATGTAGCTGGAGAACGAAACAAACACGACTCTTTCCATTTACAGACTGAGAGAAGAAGTAAGGAGGCAGGCAGGCAGCAAGATGGAGAGACAGTCAGAGAAACGATCAAACAGATAGAGAAGTGAGACAGCTCAAATTGTTTACATGTTGACTTCATCAATTTTTGATGAGATCTTGTGTGATGAATATGGTTTCCGTTTTAGTGATCACAGTTAACTGATTACTTTCGTGCAAGGCAACAGTATACCTATTTTCCAATCAAGAAATATGCTTAAGGAAACGGAGATGGATCGATTAAACATAGGCCGGACTGAGACGACCATGCAGTGATATCACATGCCAGACAGACCACTGAGTGTAACTCGATTAGTAGGAGGGGACGAGTTTGGTGTCGAACCGAATATGACATGTAGGCTGTAGATGATGACAACGGTAAACAAATGTTTGTGGACAATTGTCGAACCAGCTACAAGTGAGGGAAACGGACAACAGATGGAAATAAGAATGTTTCAGTGAAATCCCAGTTTACATTCGGAAGGCGTGAATAGCAACTCTACGATAGTAACATTTGAATTGATTAAAGATTCCGATTGAAATTTCAAACGATTCGGATTAGTGGACGAAAAATATTCCTCCTAGATAACAGCCTCGTCCTCAGATCCTTCAGTGATGTGTCCACAATAATCAAAGCAATATTATCCAATAAATAACGCCGATAGATTACCGTTTAGAAGTCTCTGTAGTTGAGAAAATGCACCACTAGAACACTAAACTGAATATCAAATGAATTAAGAAGCACAATGCAGAATTCATACATATATACGTTCCGCAGAAGGCGAGATTAGCTATGATGGTTGGATCTCCTTATTTTGAACACACAACTGAGGTTATTTCATGTGAATCGCAATACCCTCCGCTCATTGTAGTGTCCGGTATCTAGGGGCTTCAGGAAGTCTTTTCCCTACCTGTCTGATGATACATATGGATTCCTAAATCTGCTGGCTTCATGGTCTGTGTTTACCAAATAGTCGTACAGTGAACTGTTGATAGTCTTCAGTACACCTTTATTTAACCACAATGGTTGATTTTCTACCACCCCTCGAATTTAATATTCATGTCGCGCCAGTGAAGTCACAACATCTTGATGATTACCACCAATCCGTGCACCTAGCTCTGATCAGCATCATTCAATGCATGACACTCTAACTGCTGTTAGTAAGTGATCACCTGGGACTGTGGTGGCTTGATGGTGAACACGCTGCAAACTTCACTGACAGTCAATTCGGTCTGCAACAACAAACACCAAGGACTAGACACGCATGGCACATCAGTTAATTCCTAGTGGTGAACAATCACCGTAATCTGGAAATTATTCTCGAAATACTTCAAAGACAGTATCCGTACACTTATTTACACCATCAGTGTTAAAAAGTATTCTACTCTTTCTTTTATCTTACTGAAATTAGTCTGGCTGTTTCTGAGTGGTCATCTCAGAGGCATTCGAATGCTCGTTCACTCAGATATATTTATCATAATTAGAAGAAATGGTTTAGTAGAATTCCCTTGCAAATTAATCAACAACATCTCTGAAGACATTGACAAACGATGATCCAGATAGCAGAATTCCTTTCCTAGGTGTCTCATTCAACAGAATAAACACAGGAAACCTAGACACATGAGCTTGAAAGGACGTCAACACACACGCGAGACAAATACTCAGCGAAAACAGCAATAATCCAACAGAACTCGAAAGAAACTGCCAACATAAACTTTAATTAAAAGAGAGAAGACAAAATACAGCCCTCCAGTCCCAAGAAGAATAAACCAGTAGCATTGATTAGCTGTCTTCAAGAAAAGTGAACACTCCTACAATTTCATTAAAAATGCCGAAACACGAATGAATTCGTCAGCAAGATACAAACGTTAGAAACCTCAGAATAATTCATCCTACCAGATGTGTGGGGTATGTTTCTGAAACAACAGCCCGAATGCTAAAAGCATTCAAAATGGGCACCGCACAAAAAACAATATTTGACGAAGACGAAAATGATCCAGCAGCGGAAGGAGACAAGATCAGCACCACCACTAAATTGGTCAAACGACGGGCGTCCTATTTCACTCGGACTTCTTGAACAGAAACTACCTGTCAAAATACACGACATGTATTCTTTCGAATCGGCGTACGCAGACAATAACAGACTCTAATCTGACTGGGAAAATGTACAAAGTTTAACCAGTAGAAACACAAAACAAATGACGGGGAATTCGCAGACGAATCAGCGATTAACAGACAGACTACTGCAGATCGAATTCATCAACTAAATAACAAAGAATAAACCACACAACCTAAGTAGTCGAAATTCATGTGAGTATAGCCACATGCATCAACATCGAGGATTGAGAGAAATAATTGTGAAGCGTTAAATTACAACCCATGTTGGTGATGACTACGTAGGAGGTGTTTGATGCCGTAAAGAGGTAGGTCTGTTCTCCCACTCATCAGATCTTTCGTGCGACAATTCATTGACTTTCGTTTACCCTTGTTATCCTCATGGTGGAGGTAATAAAAATGAGCCTCGATATGCAGGATGGACTGATTGGCTGGGTGAATTAGCTCGTGAATGGATGAACTCGACTAAGTCAGTAAATTGACGAGAACTGTCATAAAACTGTCTAATATCCTAAAGGAAAATAATATTAGGGGAGAACTTTATTTTCTTCAGAAAGATTTACCTATGTATAGTCTGCTAGTAATAACCTTACCAGACTGATTCTCGACACATTGCACTTTGCACCGAATTCCACAAGTTCAACCCACCACAATGGATTGAGCACACGAAGGTAGCGAAAACAGACTCAAAAGAACAGTATTGGGCAATGTATGTATAGGAGAACGAATACTAGTATAGTGGAAAAATATCAGGGTTTAATCATTATTATTAGTCATTGACAACTTACTTGAAGATGGCCGTGATCAGGATGAGTTCTTCTAACTCCTTCTTTCATCAAGTTCTCTTCTCCATCTAGATCAACTGGCTTTAAGGATGATAATGATGATGATGTTTGACAAGCTAAAACACCACGACTACCACATGCATCTTTCTGAAGTGATGAATTCTCCTCTTTGCAATCGCGGAATCCGCTTCTATATTCCTTGATCCATGTTCCTAAATCGAGATTTGAGAAGATCTCATCAATATCGTAAGGCAGGTTGTCCTTAGCAGCTTTGAGTGTTTTATGCGCACTGGCATAATTAAGCTGCGATGACGACGAATTACTCTCCACTCGATGTTGACGATTCTTAGTCATGTTTTCCAGTTTTGGACGGTCTTCACGAAAGTAATTTGTTATAGGATGAATTGTTTTGCGTAACCAATCTGGCGCATTGGATAAGTCGACTGGACATCCGTTTGCATCGACCGAATCTTCCCGAAGTGCTGTTCCCCTCAAAGGATTTGGGTTACTTTGAGATTTTGGATTTTGAATATGGCGTCCCTCTTCACTTCCGCTGGTTGATGGTTGTACGGCTTTTCTTAATTACAGAAGAGAGTAAAAAAAAGAGAGGCATTACTGCTCATCTGGTTGCTACTTCTACTCCATCACTCAGACAACATTTCAGATTACTTGTTACTTTTTTGCTGATGGTTAGCAGTAGAATCCGTGATGTTCGTCCCTTCCTGTCTGGCGGTAGTTCCATCCACGAGTAAGTGATGACGTTCTCACTGAGACTCTAACCCATTCAAACGTCGAAGCATCATTCGGCTTGTCGATCTCTAATAGGACGAAACACGCACTCTGGATTCCATTGCTAATAGCCACCATCAACAGAATAACATCATCCTAACCGGCAGATATCTTTGAATGATCCGCACTAGAAACTGCCAGCACGCCAACTGAGAGTGAGCAATTCGATTCAATATAATAATCAATCAACTGGTAATGAGAAACTCAACTTCAACAAATTACTTCATCTGTTCAAGAATTCATCTGCAGAGGGTTCCTTCTAATGCTACTCATTTGACTTCACGCCATGTTTCTCTTTCATGGTGTACACAAAAGTTTGACACTAATGCACTGAAAAAATCATGAGGAATACCTACTGGCTGCATGAGTGCGTGTGTGTGTGTGTTTGGAAATATCAATGAAGTTGTGTCATGCCAAATATGACATCAATCTCCGAATGAGCATACAGAATAGATTTGATGCCAAGTTTTTGACATAAAAGTCAGCAGAATGAAACAAAGACTAATTGACATAAAAGCTTTTGTGTTTCACAATTTGGATTTGTTAACAGATGGTTAGAGTCGATTGGCAGGAAGCCTCGATATGTAGGCTTCGTGCTTGTTGGCACTCGTTCTACAGCGAGGCGTACTTACAAGGAAAGAAAGAAAAGAAAACAGACATTTTGAAACGAAAGAGGAAAGGAAAGCCGGACAGTTAATTAGCTACGACTTTTATCGTCGTATCCAAATAGCTGACTCAACAACACCGAGTTCTCGCGATTTTCCAAAGATATACACGGCTTATCTTTGTTGTGACTGCGTCGACAATATTTTACGCCTGAACTGAATAAATCCGTCGCTATTTAGTTATGTCTGCGCCTGTTAATTACTTTAACGTTAATGAAATCTACTGACACATTAATATGTCTATATAAAATATTATATATATATATATATATATATATATATATATATATATATATATATATATATATATTATATATCGGACTCACTGAGCCACGCAAATATCAGAAGACAAAAGCTGGCCCGTGACTGTAAGATATTGTATTATTATACTATATAGTTTAAGAAACAACACATGATATTTAGACATTTTCTTCGGCATAATAAAGTCAGCTCAAACCGTAGGAATGGACTTTTCTTATTGGCTGTAAATGCCTATTTTGACTGGTTGGTGATCCGTCATAAACCAAGGTGAGACAAAATAGGATGAATCGATCACACACTGAATCAAAATATGCGTAAGAAATGATAGATTAACATAGTAATACCATCACAAGATCAGTCACACGGTTCGTGAGAAAGGATGATATACTAATCTATAGTCGGTTTTTCAGTCTACCACCTCCGTCTAATTTCAGATGTGTAAGCTCCCCCTATGATTCATTTTAAAAATGGCTAGTTAGAGAACCACAGAAAACCAGGGACTAATAGGAAGATGTCCCGTCCTACCTTCTTTCGTCTCGTCAGCAGTACGCATCACCCATAACCCTGTGAGCCAGTTCAACATTCAACAACGAGTTATCACCTCCGTCAATCAGCGACAATATTTTATCCAGCCCAGCTAGTCTACTCAACCGCATAAAAAACATAAACATAACCAAATAATTATTTAATTAAATCGATGTTCTTTACTTCACTCGGAAAAGCATAGTGTCCATATTCACTTCAAATGTCTATTTGATTTATTCATTCTTGCCACACATGCCCTACACCACACAGATCTATTTTACCATTCATGTTTTTCTCCGTTCATATGCAGTCACTCTAAATCTCTTCCAAGATTCATAACCTCTATTTTCTATACAGAATTGGATACACTAAAGTCTCGTAGCACAATCAATGTATGGCTTGATGTCGATTCGTGGACAGGTCGATGTTGAAACCGGTCCAAATACTCACAAGATCTCGCAGTCCCAAATACAAATCACCAGTTCACTGATAGCCATAGGATAGATGTCCTGTGGCGGTACTGAGAAATCATCAGCGGTGTGGTTCACCATGTCAGACTGAAGTGTGTGCTCATCAAAAGCATTAGTTGAAGGTGGCGCCATTTCGTGAACCGACAAGGTTCGAGTCCATGGATCATTGAAGTCCAGTTCAATTGACTGCTGAATGGTGGACGGCCCTTATCTCCTAACATGGAGGTCACGGACTCCATCCCTTGTGTGATTGTGGGTGTGCAATGATGGGGAATCCGAAAGTAGGTGGAAACAACTATCCAGTGCGCCATGGTGTTTCCCATTCATCTGAAAATAATGCTGACTTGTGATGAGACCTACATTGAGATCAATCTTTACAAATCTCTACAAATCTCACAATCTAAAACGCTACAGAATATCTCCACTGTTGTCATGTGACTCGAATTCCTTTTGTGACAAATATTCACACGTATACTAAGCCTCCTGACTGATTCTCACTTTCCGAATTCTTTTGCAAACCACCATCCTAACGTCTTGAAAGGCTTCAACACAAACACACACACACATACACTGAAAGCAAATTCGGGTTTCCCACTGGAAAATCTTGGAGACTGAAACCAGTGTTGTATTAGTCAAATTGACCAGTGATCATGAACAAAGTAATCAAATTATCGACAACAATATCTACAGAGCTGGGCTAAAGACGAATCCGTCGCTCATTTCGTCAGTTTCTGCTCCCATCTATATATAATCAACCTAATTGTTGATCTTTACCAGTTCTCTATAACGTTTTTAACATGATTCAATAATTATTCACACAGGTTGAAAATTCCACTCAGCATCATCTCAACGTAAAATAAAGTAGGCAAATTGTACAGTTAGATGTATATGCATATGTATTTATGTAGTTGGGCGAGGGATGTAACCTAGGGAAACTGTATGGAGCAGATTTTCAGCCTCAAATACATTGTAGAAATAAAAGTTAACAGTGAATAAAGAGCATTTTCATTTTGGAATATTACGTCCTCAGTGCCAGCCAGTTATCGAGCGGAATGATACAGAAGCACTCCTCTTGTGAATCCACTCAACTCGGCTGTCCACATATACATAATCCACTGAATGAGACTGATCAGGGCTAGGTGGACGGATTTCAGGCAACGAGCAGAATGTCCAGACTTCACCGGCGTAGATTTCGTTCTCCTCACCACTCACAACACAGCAACATGTATCTTCCTTCACCCTTGAAAGATGTGAAACACCCGCTTCCATTCCAATATTCGAACCTTCAACAGTGAGTCATTCGGACTCACGACTCACCACCTCCTGTAGAAGTGTAATGGTCACATTGATTGGTCATCACTAGGCACCAGGTAGGTAAATAGTTAGGTAGTTGGGGAGGTAATCAGAACTATCGATCAAGTGTCTAATCCTATGTGTTGGTGTTGACTGAATTGACTGACTATCACTCAACTATGCAATGTGGAGTCGTTTTCATGCTGAGTGATGATGACTGTTAGTTGTGGTGTACTTCGAATGGGTATTCAATGCTGGTTAGAGTCAGTCGGTGTGAAGGCTAAACAGTGTTTGAATACAACCAGATTAGTTTGAATTGTTCACCGGCGTTTCATTTCATGGAGGTGACTTCCAAGCGATTTTTCCAATGGGCGAGTGCGAGTGATGAATATTTCACCACAAAGAGTACTAGTTCAGTGATGACATGTTTTCAGATATTTAGATGAATAATGAGGGAGTGTTGTATCTTGTGATTGAGATCAGTGTGGAAAGTCTTTCAAACTTGGGTATGGAAGTAATGGCCGAAAGGAAATTTGATCTAGCTCCCTTCGGTGCTGTTTGACAGATTGAATGCTCCCTAATTTGCATACAGGTCTTGCTGATGAGTGTCAATGAGCACAATATGTGTGTCCATTGCTTTCTATCCACTGCCTCCAACCATCATATAGACAGCATTTTCAACGCTGACTTTAATATGAACTGAGACTTTGGAATTCTACGCGGACTATGTAGCTGCCACTACTGATGATCTGTATTGTTACTGAATATCTTCGAAGTTCTACTTCTCATATTTGTTAACATTTATTTGTTTGACTGTTTCTTTGACCTGCTATTCGACCACGATGACATGTGACTTTTTCGTTTTTTATTCAATAACCTGATCTTCGTCAGTATGTTGGTTGAGTGCAGACTGATTCGAGTAATAGGCTTCTCACAATTCCCATGTACACATCGTTTAGCCGAAAGTAAGCCCCAGTAAACAGAGGAGGTTGCACGCTACTCTACCAACCACACTCTGTAAAACAACCACTGCCACCGAAAATGCAAACCTCAAGGTTCTAGTGTAATGTTCCATTCATAACGAAAACGAATCAGAAAATGTGCGTACTCTTGAAAATCAACAAAACTCGAATTACCTGTGCACAAGTCTCGAACTCTTATATCCCGTAGGTCTTACTGGTATAGAGATGCGTGGTTTGATACTTTGGTAACGACTAACTTGACTCACGTGTTTTTTACTACGCGCTGAACAGTTAACTGGAGTGAAAAGTGAAAAGGAGAAACAAACAGTGTTCATCTCATCAAGTATGACTGAAATCTTGTTTTCTGTCTTAATATTAACAAATTGAGGAGAGAGTGGAGAAAATGTGTTAGGAAACTAAACTATGCCCATGAAATCAAGTATATGAAATTAAATTTATAATAAAATACTCAAGTATTCAAGATGTTTTCTCACTGAGTTTGAAATCAGGAAGCCTAATTACACGGCATTGGTTGACGACTGTAAGTTGATTCATTTGCAGAGTTTTCTGAATTGTTAATTGACGCAATATCATGTCATATTCGTAAGCTGTGCATCGTCGAACAGAATGGTAAACCATTATATGCTGTGAAATATGCTCAAACGATAGCTGACACCAGAGGAACAGTTTATATCTTCTAGTTTACCCGTTACAAGTCCTTCTTCTTGAGTAGACGAAAACACGAAACAATCATGAATCTTTCATAAAGTACGATTTTAACCACCTAATTTAGTGACGGTGGTTTCTCTTCAGTTTGATGTGTGTGAAATGCTGAATTTCACAAGTACTCACTGTATCTCAGTTAGACAAGGCTTTTCTTTTTTAATCCATAGACAATCAGAAGTTGATTGATCCCACTGATCTAGTAGTTTACTAGGGCACTGAATATAAAAGATTAAGATGATTGGTGGGGTTGTCAGCGGTTGACATACTGTTAAGTCTCAATTATTAATGCAGTTATAGTTTGTTGGAATATTGTAAGTGTTAAACATTTGAAGAAAGTGTCACAAAATCCCTAGCTCAATATCACCACAAACAAACGCACATTTCTCCCAAATAATTCAAAGTATTCAAGGAATGTAGAAGTTTGTACAATTCAACGTAGATATTTGCGTGTATGAAAGGAGATGTGACAAAATTCAGTGACATTGCAATGCAGAAGAACTGAACTTAAGCTGACCGGATTTTTAAGTGACTTAACATACCAAATTGGCTCTTGAGTGGAACCAAATGGGAAGTGGGCTGCTTAGTGCAGTTTGTGAGTGATATGGAAATGATTTGAAGAGAATTTGGAGGCTTGTGAGAAGTCAGGAAGCCAGTCAACGTGGATAATGTATAATAATTCCAGTGGAAATAACTGACACTATAAACACGATAAAATTTATTTGAATGTCAATGCAGACACTGGGATGCCCCTCTGAAATATTTTCTGAATTCGTAATGCAGAGGTTTACAGTGAACGTGTTTTGTCGAATTTATTTTCGCACTTTGGAATTTGATATTTATCGTATCTACATGAGAGTATTTATAAACCGTCAATGATTTGAAAATAACTATTAACTAATGAATTATTAATTATTGGCGGAATGAAATTAAAACTACTGCAAATCTTAGTGTCATGCATTTAGTCTGGTATAGTATGAAGGGTGTTAGAGGTTCAGTGTTAGAATGCTCGCCAACCGTGATGGAGGTCCAGATTCGACTCCCCGTCAAGACACACAGTGAATAAATCGGGTAAAGTTGAATGTTGACCCACCTTGTCAAAAAAATGCCACTGTCACTGAAACATCAATACCTAAATCACCACTTCCACTGGAAATGTGAGGAATAAACAATGTCTAGATTGGGACCATTATGCGATTAGTATCCAATAGTGTTTCAAGAGAGATATGCAACATGACTGAAGTTAATTTTGAATAAAGTGACAAGAACTTACCTTTCGACTGGCTCAGTGAGAACCCGAATTTTCTTAATCTATTTCCAAAAGCCCGTTTCTTTGGGTCTGATTTCATCGATGCAGGGATGGCAGATGTCTTGGATACGTTCGTAGATATTCTCTTCGTCTTACTTATTCAATTTCTAGGCATCAGGAATGCGGAAAAATCAATAGATGTTGATAAATAATCAACGAATTTATAGCTTAAAACCATGAAAATCATTAGAACGCGAAACTGGCTAGACTAGACTTCAAATACAGAGCATAGTTCGGCAGTAGAATATTCCCCAGCACATCTCTTCTAGTAACAAATCCGGTATTAATTTCTCTTCAATTCCAATCTACGACTTTCAATCACTATACAGTTTTGATTCTAGTCCTACGTGTTGAAGAGCTGTATGATATATTATTATTACTGTGGTGTTGATTAGTGGCCCCCATTTCGTGTTTTGGTGGTATTACACATATCCACAGATGTCGTACACTTCTCTCCTTATGGATAAATATAACCTTTCTGCTCACATAGTTGCAAAGGCCTGCGTGAAACAACTTTCGTAGAGCTTTAGAAAGATTTCTTCCTAACGTAGTGAGTTGTTCTAGATCCTATCGAGCTTCGCCAAAAATGTTTTGTTCCCAAATACACATGAGGATCGTTGTTCAGATGAATAAATACGTCTCGTCTCTGTCGTTTGCATATCTCAGCTTGCTGTTTTACCAACCTCAGGATTTCCGCTTTCTTTTCAGTGCTGACTCACAGCCGTTTGACAGTAACTGTTGGATTCTGTGGTGATTCAGAATGCTTTCACATGAAATACTCGGAGTCATCAGTGAAATTTGTTTCCCTCTGGGCTTTCAGATTGCCTCATCACTCACTAGACGAACTGGTTTGAAATGAAGTGGTGTGGTGACTTACTTTTCTCTACCTTGTACTCCTATCTTGAAGTATTCTATTTTTCCTGGATGCAATAATAGGAGTTAGTCTCACAAAAATCACTTGAAATCAGGAGCAGAACTTGTGTTTCTACGATACGCAGATGATATAAGCATTTTTACTAAAGTGGTGCAGCAACACAGTATCTTCTAAAATACTGAGCACTGGTAGCTTTGATATCCGCCTTATTCATCTGGGTTAAAAGGTAAGAATCCACTGCAAGGCTGCGCATGCGCTTATTTTAGGCACAAAGAGCAGACCAATAAACTCCTATCAGCACAAGACATAAATGCAGTGCGTTTCTTCAGAGTACATCTAATCACATCGATCTAGTTCTCAGTAATTTGTCTGGTTATCTGTCATATAAGACAGGTACTGTTTACATTAATTTACTTCGTTTCACTTTACAATGTTGCCACTGTCATCTGAAACTAGAATGCTTGAGAAGTTTTTAGGTTCCTGACTAGATTTTTTCTTTATTTAACCGCTCACTCAACGTAGCATACAATCTTAGCCAGGAGTCACGTTAGACGTAAACTGTTGCATAACGAGACTAAGCCTATCAATAAGGATGCAAATATCTGGCAGCCATAGTTTGTGGCAAGAGTATTATACATTCTTACGATAGAAAACCTAGTAGAATTAAAATGAGGTTGGAAAAATCACTGGCTATTAGGCCAAAATATGCCACCCATCTCCATTTATTCTTAATCTTAACTTGATATACAAAAAGAAGTGTAATTTATTTGTTTAAGGTTCTCAGAACATCAGAACTAGGGGAAGATTCTTTTGGAAAATACTCCAACCTCTTATTAGTGACTTGTATTCATTCATTCTTCCTCAATTGCTGACTTCTCAGTGTTTTCAGTACTGTTTAATGAATTGTCTTCTTCTTCATCTTTACTAGGTGCGGAATGCATTTAAAGTAGTAGATGATAAGCAACATGCAATTAATGATGAAAACTCAGGTATATTAAATTGTTGCAAATAATCTTATGCTGCTTACATACGTATTCAGGATACTGGGTCAAATAATTGGTGATATTCACGCCTCATACTAAGTCATTTTTCTTCAAAAAGAGAAGCCTTACCTCCAGTACAGCTTCCAAAGTACCAAAATGAATAGATCAAACTGAATCGACCTAATATCAACTAAATTACCTTCTAGCTTGCCTGTAGATGTTGTTGGTGTTTAAGTTAGATGTTGATGGGTTCATATCCAACAAGGCCTCGAGATCATCTTGTGATTATCTATTGTGCTAGTAAAACGCACAACCCCAGGGTCAGCAATTCAATCGAATAGGCAGATGAGACTAAAAGATTTTCCTCAGACATTTATTGCTCATCAGAGAGTATTCATAAAAAAAGTGAGTCATCTAGCTTCGATTCCCGTTATAAATACCTTGCAAACTAAATAGATTACTAGTTAAGTGGGCAACCAAGAATATGTCATCTAATAAAGCTACCATAATGTGACATGTCTGCAACACAACCAGACCTGTATAAATCCATGAGTGTCAAATCAAATACTCGAAACGGGCTCACGCGCAAAATGCATCAAAATCACACGTGTTTTATAATTCAGTGAAATCTAACAGAAATACCAGCTGGAGGTAAACTGCTTAACTGAGGAGACCAAATCAACATATTCAGGCAATTAAGAAATTCCTATGGGCTTGCCTTGTCCTTTTACTTCCCATATAACAAAGTGTACTTCAGAGTAGTTCGAAAGACAAGTCGTTGAGTGAATAACCCTCAGAAACGATTCGTCAAGTGGTTAGTACCTACACTAATAGCTGTTCGACAGCGAAACAGACAAATTTGGATACTTGGGATAGAGGCTTTAACATAAGCTTGAAGTCTTTTATCTTCGATCGAAAGTCTAAATCTCATGGTTCAACTGGGCTGAGTTAATAATAATTAACTATAGTTGTGAAATTACTCAATTCAAATAATTAGAGGTAGTTTGTTGTGGTATGTCTAAGTCAAAGGCCCAAGCATACTGTAACTAGGAAATATGGTGAATTGTACATCATGAAGTGTACCTCATTTCTATGCGTTTCAAAGAATTCATGATCACATGTGTATACGTGGCTAGGTGAAGATAAAGTATCACAGCCAAAGCCAAGACATTTCACAAATGTACCTTCAAGAACCAGTAAGATACAAGAAATGTTGTGAAAGGTCACTCCAAATCAAATCGTGACTGTCATTTTTGACTTGGAGAAGGTGGATGCAGTATTCCACTTGTTCTCTAGTTACCTTTTCTGTAAATCTATACTGTTACGTAGGTTTATGGCTTTTTAGATTAAGTTCCGGAGTCTATAAACCACGTAGTGTTGAATTTGCGATTTGGCGTTAGGAATATGGTTGGGGTTAGAAGTGTCAGAAATATCAACAGATCTAACATTATCATGACTTACAGTCACGTGAATGAGTGTATCTTTGGCGCATAGTATACATTCCCCATAGATCATCTGCGTTGTAGCTAGGTATTCTTACAACATATATGCGACACCCTTGCAGTGAATATCATGTTTGCTATGTCTTTGGTACATTTTTTAACGATTATAAGACTTTATCGCATGTGAATTCTATTTGGTTGTCCAAGGTCACTGAGGTTTTGGCTGTGATATTTTAACGTAGCCCATGACTACTTTCCAGCAAGTGAACATGCTAGAACAGTGAGGCCTGCTTAAAGCGAACAAAAATTATAATACCTTAAAACTGCTTATGGGCAAGACAGGTCCTTTTATTGTGAGCCTAGGTTATTTAGCTGACTATGCGTGGATGGTATTCAGTTTCACTAAAATATTATCATAGAAAAACACAAGAAATGTAATATAGTAGGCTAAATCCACTCACAAAGAGTCTATTTCCAGAAATTAATAAGCATAACTTTTAGCCGACCTCAAATTACCGTCTCTGGCAGCGATAACACATTACCACCTTGAGAATGGAGAAACCAGTTTAAACAAAACTTGTCCAATATCATTTTACGAGCCGGCGTAAACTAAATTGATCTCTTTGAACAGAGTTCTTGGTCGCAAGCTAGAAACTCCCGGTCTCTGTCAATTTAGTGTTTACTTCGTCCCATTTCTCAGCCATTATAGCTTTGGTTGATTCCAGGAGTTGTGCTGGGACTGGCTGGTAGTATGCTGTGTGTCAAGACTGTGCCTCTGCTGTCAACTGATTGACCCTTTCACTCGTTAGCGTATATTTATAGGTGATAGTGATTAAATGGGAAAATGGGTGAACGGATTATTCGAAATAGTTAGACAAGTGAGAGTGAGAAGTAGTATACGACGAGTTCAGATGTGTACCAATTAACTGTATGAATGAAACTTAACTTGACAAACCCTTTCGAATTCAGTCCTTGTGTCATTGCATGATTTCTCAGACTTTATTTAGGGCTCTCCACAGACGGTGCGATAGTCACATCTTCTGGTAAAATGTTGCAAGGAGGTTGAAATCGAATAGAAAACAAATGACAGGCCACTGGATTCTTTGCTCTCTGATTCGCTACAATTCGTGGATTCCCACAAGGCAGCTAATTTAATTATTGTTTCCAGGGAAAATAGAATACTTCAAGATAGGAGTACAAGGTAGAGAAAAGTAAGTCACCACACCACTTCATTTCAAACCAGTTCGTCTAGTGAGTGATGAGGCAATCTGAAAGCCCAGAGGGAAACAAATTTCACTGATGACTCCGAGTATTTCATGTGAAAGCATTCTGAATCACCACAGAATCCAACAGTTACTGTCAAACGGCTGTGAGTCAGCACTGAAAAGAAAGCGGAAATCCTGAGGTTGGTAAAACAGCAAGCTGAGATATGCAAACGACAGAGACGAGACGTATTTATTCATCTGAACAACGATCCTCATGTGTATTTGGGAACAAAACATTTTTGGCGAAGCTCGATAGGATCTAGAACAACTCACTACGTTAGGAAGAAATCTTTCTAAAGCTCTACGAAAGTTGTTTCACGCAGGCCTTTGCAACTATGTGAGCAGAAAGGTTATATTTATCCATAAGGAGAGAAGTGTACGACATCTGTGGATATGTGTAATACCACCAAAACACGAAATGGGGGCCACTAATCAACACCACAGTAATAATAATATATCATACAGCTCTTCAACACGTAGGACTAGAATCAAAACTGTATAGTGATTGAAAGTCGTAGATTGGAATTGAAGAGAAATTAATACCGGATTTGTTACTAGAAGAGATGTGCTGGGGAATATTCTACTGCCGATCCATGCTCGCCAGAAGGGAATGGTACTGAATGCAGATCATTATTTGTTATAGTCATGCAGATTTTTCTTACTGGTTCAACGTCAGCCAAAGTCGCCATTTTGTGCTGCATATTTGTTCGTTTTGACTAAGTGAAGCCACATGTAGCAGGCTCTTTGTGATCCATTTTCGATCACGGTTTGTGCTTGTATATTTTGCTGTACAGCGTCTTGTTATGGTGATAGTGGATGTTCCAAAGAGCTTGAGTCATTACCAGCAAGACTTTCAAGGATGTTACATTAGTAAGTGACTTCAATGGTTGCTCAGCCTCATTCTAAATGTAGATCTGTGCAACTTCCTCCTCAAGTCAAATGGAAGGGAAGAGGCGAGCAGCAAATCACCACAGAAGATTGAAAAGACAAGTGTACACGGATAGGAACTTAATGTTTGCACGTATATGTTCATATCCATTGTACATCGCCAACTAGTAAACATATATATTTATTTCTACTCAGCTTATTTATGCATCTATGCGATTGGTCTACTTACCTTTCATAGAGTAATTATGGAATTTTTGCGCGATTTCTAGGTACTGTATTAAACTAATAATTGATTGGTTCTATGAATAAACAGTTTGGGAATGTAATCAGTAGAGAATTAGTCTGTACACAGAGCATTTGAAACTTATAACTGAGGTACAATTTTGACTTCTAGGGACAAACTGTTCCATATTTTGGAATACATGACTGGGATAAGTTTTTGTGGAGGCTTTTATTATTATTGTGCAAGTTTGGTTGTGCATTTTCGACAGGTCACATCCATTCCATCTGCTCTCACAGATACCCAGCACTTCTGTGCCATATTTCCGCATTTCGTTGGCCACCTGGGTATTCTTCTCAGTCCCGTACATTGTACGCCACTCCACGCCCTCATTCTTATTCCTGCTTTCATCAAAAGAAGACAGTGATCGGCAGAATGCCTTTTTGAATGCTTTCACCAGCTTGCGTGATTTTGCCCCACCGGTCCTAGAGAAGAATAACGTTGTTATTTAAATTTTTTGTATTTTTTTAATGTATTTTTTCGCTTTGAAGTTTCTGTGAGTGTTTCATAGCTCTATGGTGTTGGGTCGTTAGTCCCAATTTCAAACCCGCCCTCTTTAACTAAACTTGGAATCGGCAGAAAAATAGCGAGCTAATTAACAAGCAAAGTTTAAAAAGCCGGCAACACCTGTTATTCTCAGCCGATAAAACATGCAAATACCAACCGGGCCCAAAGTTTCTTAACTTCGATGATCGGACGATAACCCATGTTTTTAACGTGGTATGGTCGCCGACTACATGACAAATACTGCTTTAAATATCGCAATAGATTGAAGCTCGCCGCGTTAACTTCCTGTCTTGCGTGTGTATCTAGCATCCAGAAGCATTTTGCTGATATTAGCCAGTGTACTTTCAGAAAATTAACTTGAGATAGCACCCAGAAACTGTAAGCTACGTACCTTGAGGTATAATTTTGGTTGGCCCAGCTGGATTATTGCTGAGGTGCAGTTGGCAGCAGGAAACAAGAAGGCGTGACATGGCAAGCAGTGGATAAAGATATGGAGTAAGAATTCAGTGGATCAGTAGAAATCCTGTCGAACCGGCCAATTACAGGAAACCCGTTAGTTACGCAAATTGGACGACATAGAACTCTTATCCGATAGGCTTTCGATGTTTCACCACATTACCTGCTGACTCCTTACCATTCTTTACCGTTTGTTGTCCATGTGAGCAGCCGAAAAGCCTTTTCCAAATACAGCACCGTATTTTAGTCGAAGATTTTCAAACTCTGTATAGATCGGTGTTGCATATTCCCATATCTTTTCATGAATTTAATATTACATGTCTGATTTGGATTTGATAATGTAATTTCATCACAATTTTAACCCTGGCTCTTCTTCGACATTGTAAGTATCTTTAAAATAAGTCAAATTTTCTTCACGGAAATAAGATGAATATCTCACTGTCCTTCTCTTCCGTATTTATTCATAATAACTGGGTATTGAAAAAAACAGAATTCAAATTATTCCTTGCAATGAAAATAAATACCGTATCTTAACGATTAGATAGGTCAACTGAAAAGCAACAGGAATGAACGTAAATAAATATAAGGAGAAGTTCAAGGTCGGTCTCATATGCAACTGGAAATGCCACAAATGTGGTGTACTTACGGGTGAGTTTAAAGTTTTACAGACTTTGAAACTCCGTATGAATCATCCACTGATAATTATTGTTTATTCTGCATGTCTTATGTATCACGTGAACACATGTACAAAAAATGCTACTTAACTTCCACAACTAAAGCAATCATTTATAATTCCAGCGCGAAATTGACACGTATTTTTTTCAATCACAGTTTAGATTTGAAGCTACATCTTATGAATTATTCGGTCGAAAGCAGACCTCAAAAATGATCTATTTCCTTATTTGTACACTTCATTTTAAATGTTTCTCTGACATTTACCAGTATTCAACTTATTTCTAAATTGACAAATCGTATTATAAATTCTATAAGTTCTAATAAGTGTACATGTGTTAATGCCTGTAAAAATGGCTGATTTCTGTTCCAGAAATAAGTAAAACTAGTAAGACAATCAGTCAGAGTACAGATCACCAGAAGCGGCTGGTACACCACTACCGTAGAATTCTAGAGTCTCAGCTCATGTTAATGCTGTCTATGTGATGTTTGGAGGCAGTGGATAGGAAGCAACGGACACACATATTGTGCTCATTGACACTCATCAGCAAGACCTGTATGCAAATTAGGGAGCATTGCATCTGTCAAACAGCACCGAAGGGAGATAGATCAAATTTCCTTTCGGCCATTACTTCCTTACCCAAGTTTGAAAGACTTTCCACACTGATCTCAATCACAAGGTACAACACTCCCTCATTATTCATCTAAATATCTGAAAACATGTCATCACTGAACTAGTACTCTTTGTGGTGAAATATTCATCACTCGCACTCGCCCATTGGAAAAATCGCTTGGAAGTCACCTCCATGAAATGAAACGCCGGTGAACAATTCAAACTAATCTGGTTGTATTCAAACACTGTTTAGCCTTCACACCAACTGAATCTAACCAGCATTGAATACCATTTCGAAGTACACCACAACTAACAGTCATCATCACTCAGCATGAAAACGACTCCACATTGCATAGTTGAGTGATAGTCAGTCAATTCAGTCAACACCAACACATAGGATTAGACACTTGATCGATAGTTCTGATTACCTCCCCAACTACCTAACTATTTACCTACCTGGTGCCTAGTGATGACCAATCAATGTGACCATTACACTTCTACAGGAGGTGGTGAGTCGTGAGTCCGAATGACTCACTGTTGAAGGTTCGAATATTGGAATGGAAGCGGGTGTTTCACATCTTTCAAGGGTGAAGGAAGATACATGTTGCTGTGTTGTGAGTGGTGAGGAGAACGAAATCTACGCCGGTGAAGTCTGGACATTCTGCTCGTTGCCTGAAATCCGTCCACCTAGCCCTGATCAGTCTCATTCAGTGGATTATGTATATGTGGACAGCCGAGTTGAGTGGATTCACAAGAGGAGTGCTTCTGTATCATTCCGCTCGATAACTGGCTGGCACTGAGGACGTAATATTCCAAAATGAAAATGCTCTTTATTCACTGTTAACTTTTATTTCTACAATGTATTTGAGGCTGAAAATCTGCTCCATACAGTTTCCCTAGGTTATATCCCTCGCCCAACTATATAAATACATATGCATATACATCTAACTGTACAATTTGCCTACTTTATTTTACGTTGAGATGATGCTGAGTGGAATTTTCAACCTGTGTGAATAATTATTGAATCATGTTAAAAACGTTATAGAGAACTGGTAAAGATCAACAATTAGGTTGATTATATATAGATGGGAGCAGAAACTGACGAAATGAGCGACGGATTCGTCTTTAGCCCAGCTCTGTAGATATTGTTGTCGATAATTTGATTACTTTGTTCATGATCACTGGTCAATTTGACTAATACAACACTGGTTTCAGTCTCCAAGATTTTCCAGTGGGAAACCCGAATTTGCTTTCAGTGTATGTGTGTGTGTGTTTGTGTTGAAGCCTTTCAAGACGTTAGGATGGTGGTTTGCAAAAGAATTCGGAAAGTGAGAATCAGTCAGGAGGCTTAGTATACGTGTGAATATTTGTCACAAAAGGAATTCGAGTCACATGACAACAGTGGAGATATTCTGTAGCGTTTTAGATTGTGAGATTTGTAGAGATTTGTAAAGATTGATCTCAATGTAGGTCTCATCACAAGTCAGCATTATTTTCAGATGAATGGGAAACACCATGGCGCACTGGATAGTTGTTTCCACCTACTTTCGGATTCCCCATCATTGCACACCCACAATCACACAAGGGATGGAGTCCGTGACCTCCATGTTAGGAGATAAGGGCCGTCCACCATTCAGCAGTCAATTGAACTGGACTTCAATGATCCATGGACTCGAACCTTGTCGGTTCACGAAATGGCGCCACCTTCAACTAATGCTTTTGATGAGCACACACTTCAGTCTGACATGGTGAACCACACCGCTGATGATTTCTCAGTACCGCCACAGGACATCTATCCTATGGCTATCAGTGAACTGGTGATTTGTATTTGGGACTGCGAGATCTTGTGAGTATTTGGACCGGTTTCAACATCGACCTGTCCACGAATCGACATCAAGCCATACATTGATTGTGCTACGAGACTTTAGTGTATCCAATTCTGTATAGAAAATAGAGGTTATGAATCTTGGAAGAGATTTAGAGTGACTGCATATGAACGGAGGAAAACATGAATGGTAAAATAGATCTGTGTGGTGTAGCGCATTTGTGGCAAGAATGAATAAATCAAATAGATATTTGAAGTGAATATGGACACTATGCTTTTCCGAGTGAAGTGAAGAACATCGATTTAATTAAATAATTATTTGGTTATGTCTATGTTTTTTATGCGGTTGAGTAGACTAGCTGGGCTGGATAAAATATTGTCGCTGATTGACGGAGGTGATAACTCGTTGTTGAATGTTGAACTGGCTCACAGGGTTATGGGTGATGCGTACTGGTGACGACACGGTTGATAGTAGGGCTAAACACCTATGCCTTGCAACCTGGTTTCCATTATCGTCTAACCAAACATGTCGCACCTGAACAATAGGGGATCTTAATTATCTGAATTTCGGCTGATCTTTAGGGAAGTCATTTATATCTGTGTAAAATCTTTATACATTCTTTTATTGGGTCTGCTTCCTGAACATGTTTCTGTATTTAGCCACCCATTATCTATTCGAATTTTCCGCTATCGCCTTTTGGAACTCATCTGTGTGTTTTTTTTGCCAGTGTTTTTTTCTTTCTCTCTTTGCAAGTGCACTTTGCTTTGACACGTTTACCCACAAACACAAAGCCTATATCAATGTGGTTGAAGATTGAATGATCAATTCATGTTTGTTTGCTCAAACCCAAATCCCCTATATTTTCTCGGAGGCATCAATACACCAACCATCATCTCATCGGTCGCTGTTCAGAAAGCGGATTAAAACCGTCAGAAACCCTAGTTGTTACGATGGTTATATGTTGGTGTTAGAATAAAGAATTCTCTAGTCGCGAATCGGTGTTTTGGTTTTTGCGCCCGTTAGTACTAAGCGTTTCTGAAAGGCTTCGAGGGACAGCGAGAGGCCCGGCATTGCAAGAGCTGGGCATTAACGGTTTTGAGACGTGATTGACAGCCTTTATACCAAGGCTCTGTGCTGATTGACTTCAGCCGTCTATAACGTAATCAAAATGTTGTCCAAGCATCGGCTCTTTTGGTTATGTTTTAATTTATACCTCTGTTTCGAGTGAGGGATTTTATCTAGTCTTCCAGTTCCTTGTTATTTTATCCAGGGGAGGGGCTCATTTGAATTTTTGTGTGTTTATTACTTGATTGTTCTGTATCTGTTGTATACAACAACTCTTCGGTGTCTTCAGCATTTCGTTTTTGATACAGTTGCATTACCGTGATTCGGATCATCCGGTGAATTCCGCATGGTCGTATATTTGTTGCGAGTTTTGCACCCAGTGAACATATTTCTCGTGAAGAGCTACCGAAACAAGAAATCTTATATTTCATAGTCATGAATACACACCGTAGCTAGGTAAATTCTGTTTGTGTGTCCCTACATATATAACTACAGGAGGACTTGTCTTCAGATTACTCACTCATACCTTCTCTTTCGGTGAGGCATTGCTCGTGTTGCTATATTGCCACTTTCATATTTTGTAAAACGTGGAGTCTTAATAAGGATGCTGTCATTTTTCCAGCAGCCTTTCCATTAATTTTTTCTGAATTTTTATGCTTTTCACGCGGTCTCCGTTCTTCCTATCTTGGAAGTATTCATTTTACTTTAGTTGTAACTGCTTTTAATCCTCTGCTGGTTTTGTTCTCTCAGCAGGTTTTCACTTTGCCCTCCACTGTCTGCCATACTAGCGACATTTCCTATGAGCACATCAAAAAATGAATCAGTATCTGCCCGACCACTGCATTCAACGGAGTTACATAAGGTAGATAGGTAAACATTTTGTGCCAATACACATGAGACATCTAGAGCCCCCCCTACAAAATGAAGGGACGATAACCGGCGGATTTATAGCTTAATATGAAATTGTCACAATATTATTGGATTCTGGGTGATGGTGATCTTGAGGTCTACTGAAGAGTACAGGCACACGGGAGTCCAGTAGACATCACGAACTTTTGAATACAACCAGACGGCAAACACACTGATTAGAAATAGGATGTCACCGAAATCACTCTCCTCCTACTGTCAGTCGATAGTGGCCACTTCATATTTGGTAATTATCTCATCGTCCAAATATTTTACAGGATGATCGTACAACAGGTATAGTGGTATTCAAGATAATTAGAAGTTATACGGAATACAAGAGTTGGTTGGTGATAGAATCCCATCACTGTTCTGTAGGACTGTACACAGGACTGAGACAACGAACAATATAAGCGACATGGTGAGATAGCCGAATCTAATGAAGTGAAGGGCGGAAACGTTTCGAAACACCTCTGTAATCGTTTCTCATTCATTACCTCACTAACTGTGGTTGACAATGCAGTACTCCCTAGACGTCCTGCTGATGCCCTTCTTGGCTGATGTAATTTGCTTCTAGTTACGAAGATTTTCACTATTTCTGTATTATGGGCTAGGTTGTTTAGGAGTTAGAAAAATTTATTCATAAACCCCAACTTTAAAGATGAGAAAACGTGGGTGACGCCAAATTACTGGCCTGTTAGTGTGACAGGCATGACCCCAGAAGGTACTGAAAAGAATCATTAGGAACTCGTTGTTAACTCATATAGGAGAAAGTAGTCTACACACAGAGAAACGCGATAGACCCACACTAAGACGATTTTCCTAAGAAAAAGTACTGTTAGATAGGAAACAGTGGGTGTAACCTAGGAAATGACAATCTACCGACGGTCATAGTTTTTAATGCCCACAGCAAATCATTCTGTGATGTGTTCCACTTAGGTGTCTTGTCACTAAATCAAAGGGGTTTGGAACAGGTGACCACCATGTGGTGTTTTCGCGACAACCCGTCAACAAGTTATGAGGAAAAGAGGTGTTCTATCGTGGTGTGCAACTGTATGAAGTGGGATGGATGGATGGCATGGTGTATCACGGTCGGCCCTTTGTTATTCTTGTCGTGTATCAGCGGACTATCAACAGTTCTTACCTCGTCTTCAATTATATTCACAGACAATATTGAGACCTTAAAGATTGTAAAAATGACAAGGTGGGTAAAACGAGTTAGAGTGTGCGTCGGTGGCACAGTGGTTAGGACTCTCGCCGACCATGCACATGGTCCGGGGTTCGAGCCCACGCCGACGCACACCTGATATCTATGGTCGGCCTGCAAAATTTGGGCTACCGATATCCATGCTGAAAATTCCATACTTGTACCAAAAATACAGTGTGGAATCAAGCTGTAAATAAAAAAAAATAACCAATGAAGCTTGCGAATCAGCTCCAGAAAAAGTGCGGTACTGAACTCAAACCAACAGTCCTTAACGGCGTGCTTCATGGAAGATAACAAATTAGCTGATTTTAAAGCCAAGGCCCTCACAATCCTGTCAGTTTTTAAAAGGGATCTTATCCTTTGGTATATCCATATATAAGGTCATCTCATCAGTACATATTAGACCTCATCTAGAATGATAGAAACAAGTGTCCGCCGAATGTATCAAGAAGGAGGCATAGGTGCTGGAAACAGCAGAAAGATCAGGCACTAAGCTAGCCAGTTGTATCTCACTCCTTCTTGATGAAAATCCAGGACATATGGAACTCAAGAAATAGTATCTGGCGAGGGAGTTCATATCTATATATATGAATTAAAAGAAATGATAATAATAAAGAACTTATTATCATATCGAAGAAGTGGAAATGAAATAATTTTGGCTTGTCGTATAACAAGGAAAAATCTAGGCGTCCTTAAAACTTATCCTCTTTCAGGAGACCCTCGTGAAACCAACGTCTAAAGCTAGTGAAATCGATGTTGAACAAAACACAGAAGAAGTTCGTATTCTTATAAGTACACGATCGAGTAAATTTGATTCTAGTCTGCACAAGTAGATTTTCGAGGAAAAACCAGTCTGGATCTTTTCTGAATCGGATTTTAATCAACATATCAAAATGAAAAACTTGACAGGTGTGGACAATTGCATTTTACGTGTTTTAAATGACGGGCATTTCGCGCCTAAATAAAATAATGTCACACAATTTCGTACATAAGAAGCATGAATTGCATACCTCAAAGAGTCATTTTGTCCATTATTCTATGTCTCGGAACTATCAATATGTTGGCTCAAAGAGTCAATTTAAGCATAGCCATACTGTGTATGACAAACCATACGTATATCCGTAATGAAAACAAAGAAAATGATGTGAATGTGACCGTTTCTTCATCATTTCATTGCATTCAGGAAAATTTCAATGGAACAGATGTGAGTTTTCATGGTTACTATCCTTCAACACTTTGTATGCCTCGATGCAGAACCTGAATCAAATTAACAAATTCGCAAAATTGTAATACATAATCCCAAGGTTATAATAATGGTGAATCAAATCTCACTTATTGTGAACTAACTCTGATGTTCTACAATTAGTAAATTTTGAAATTGCTGTGAAATGGCTTGATTTCGCTTACAAACCAGAACTAAGTGCTGGTTGTTAGCATGACTGACACTAATTCAGCTTTTTCTAGGCTTTTTCAGAAGTAGCTCAGAACCTAATGGTTTCGCTCATTAGCGTTGCTTCAGCTCTCTCGGTTGATATTCAGCACTGAATGGCAATACTTCAGAACAAAAGACATTTCAGCGCATAGTGGCAATTTCTCAGCTTTATTTCAGCACTAAAGATATTATTAACTTCAAGTCCTGTTTTTAAGGCTTTGTCTCATAAATAAGAGAGTTCAGCATTATTTCAGTGCATAGTGGGTTCATTTTAGGTAGATAAAGTATTCGTTCACCATAAAAAGACATTATTGGCGCATAGGTTAGAATTGGTTTTGAGTTATTGTAAGCCTGGATGACTGTCCTTATCGTAGTAATTCACTTTAGCGCATTATAAGTGAGTGTGAGGGAGAATTTAATCTACTTCGTTCACCAAATAACGTTCTAGAGGATTTGATTACGACGGTTTGGCTGCTTTAATAGGTGGTTACCTAGTTTTTTTGATTTGATTTATGGTTATCGCGGAGTACTTATTACGTTTCATGATATTAAAACCTATTAGACAACTACAGGTAATCAGATAACAGCGCAACTGTCTTTTAATTGTCTACTCCAAGTTGAAGCATACTATATTCAAGCTACTCGGTATTAAATATTTTAAGACTATTTTTGCAGTCGGTTTTGTCGTGCCATTTATGAAAAGAATGTTTCTTTAGTTATTTCATAGACTGGAAGAGTTATTTTAACCTAAAGTTTCCTCTGTAAATTAAGTTTATGATTAAAACTTTTAACTCAGGGATGCTAGTCCCCGACAGATAGAAAAAATGTAGTTCTGCCTTTATAAATACCTATATTATGTATGTTTATCTGACAGTTTAATTATATCTTAATACTAAAAAACAAAAGGCTTACGGTCATCTGTTTTGTTGAAGTTACTAAAAGTAGGATATTTCTGTTTCATGCTTTTGTCTTCCACACTTTGTATTTGAAGAATATAGTGGAAAATCGGAATCATCATGCAGGCATAATTTAAACGTACATCCTTCTGTAAAACAAACAGAAGGTGGGATTAATTCCTTGCCTTCTGTGCACATTTTTCAGTTTCGGTAAATTAAGTCCTGCCAGTTGTATTTAAAGTACTCTTTCACAATAAGATGTACTTGATTTATTTCAGTAACATGTTCTCAATGCAAGTATTATAGCCTATGCAAAATTAATTTTATCAAATGTTGTGTAGTATTGGAATTTTTTCACAATGGACCGTTAATTACCGCTTTTAAATATTCCTACGAGTTTTGGGAATGCTTTAATTGCTTAGTTAAGCTTGATAAGAACATCATTATAAAACCAAAGGTCATTATTCCACCTATATAACAATGAGGATCTTGAGCGGAGTACACAAAGCAAGAAAATACCCTCTGAAATACATCTTTAATGCTCTTTCAAGTAACTTTTCAACTTCCTAATATTAAGCACTTTATTTCCTTTGTGGTGTTATTTTTTCAGTGGTTTTTTACAATTGCCACTATCATTGCCTTTATATTTTAAGCTTCCTATTATTCTCTGCCTATTTGCTCAATTATTTGAGGTTCAGATACATTGGGTCTTCCTCTTTTTTGGATTTTAGAACTTACGGTATGTCCATATCTATGTTTTCGACTTGTACATTAAGTTCTAGTCTTATTTTGAATGGGTCTTTAGCCGGTGTTGGAATTAACTAATTCAGTGAGGAATGTCATTAGTTCACCAGCCAGTATGATAAAAGACGTTCTGCATGTAGACAGTCCGTAAATTATGGATTTTGTAGGAATGCAATGTGTGAGATAGACTGGAACTTAAATAATTACACTAGATACAGAATTTTAATGTAAGGTGATCACCAATATGATAGTGAAAATGAACTAAGTCATCCTAGCCGCCCTAAGTATGAGAGATTTGGAAATTTTATTGACCACCTTTACTACGGATAGTTTGAACTCATTGTAACATGTTCACTCTTTGCCGCTTAGCTTCTGTATTGTGAATGAGGTCTGAAATACATTCAGTATGATGTTAAAAGAATTACATCAAAACCTGGGAGTGCTGGACAGCTGTTTCCTCCTAGTTTGGGACTCTTCATCAGTACACATTCACACTGCGGGGTTCGAATCCAGGACCTTCTGGTTACAAGGTGTGTCAAATGACCATTGGGCTACTGGAACCAGAAGGTCCTGGGTTCGAACTCCACAATGTGGGTGTGTTCTGATGAAGAGTCCCAAACTAGGAGGAAACAACTGTTCAGTACTCCCAGGTTTTCCAGTGGTTATCTAACTGATGTCAGCTCATGAGGAAACCCTCCACCCAATCAAACAAAATCCCCACAAAACCAATGCTTGAAAATTACATCAAAGTTTATAAAGTCGTCGGATAAAGTCTATAAGATTCTACCCTATAGTTTCTTGAGTTTTAGGTTTATGACTTTTAGAGAACTTTAAATTCTTTGGTAGAGTAAACAGACTTATCGATAAATCATGTAAATAACCATGAAAAAATATGTAAAACTCTGTAAATTATTTTAATCATATATCATTTTGATTTTTAGACCATGACAGATGGCCCATTTGTTTGGGATCGGCCAAGCCGTGGTGTTCTCCTGGGAATTATTTTCTGGGGTTATTTCCTTGGTCAGATACCATCAGGTATTTTAATACAAAGTTTCAGTGTTCGTTGGGTGTTGTTCACATCTTTAATCCTGTTGAGTATGTCGACATTCTTTGTTCCACTGGTGGCAACAAAGTCATTGTATTTATTCTATGCTTTTCGAATATTGACGGGATTAGCATCAGTAAGTTTTGTTAATAGTTTGCTGTTGTAAAATATTTTGTTTTTATAGAAAAAAGCAAATACAGGAACTTAGTAGTCATTCAAGTATTATTGTGAATATCTGTCAGTCAAAGTAGCTGAACATTAATTATTGGTTTTAGCACTGAAACTATGTAACCAAATTATCAACAGACTTTGTAACGCTTTTGGTTTTGAATTAAACTTATAGTAAAACGTTGGAAATAAAAATTTCCAGGGAAACTGGGAAGAGAAATGACACCATATTTAGATGTATCAGAAGGATTTACAGAATATCACTTAGAATAAAAATTGGCTATCTCTGTTGTTATTCGTGTTAAATTCTACTATGGTTAATAAGAATAATAATTTCCTTTATTTCAAAACAGTACTTGTGATACAGAACGGAATTCTCAGCAAATTTACTACAGTATTGCATCCAGTTAGTACATGAACTATAACTAAAATTCCACATGGATTAAGGGTAATCTCAGTTCATTATGACAACATATTGGGATGTCGGTAGCAAAGCCAAATGTGAACAGAGTGTTTGAAGATGTTAGAAAAGTAGATGCTAGCATATTTACTGGCGTAAGTGGTAACAAAACGGTCGAGATATACAGAGTGTGAGAGAAAGAAGAAGAATGTTTTAAATAGGGTTTGTAAGGAAGAGAGAAACAAAACAGCACATAACAAAAAAAAGGAAAGAAAGAAATCATTGTACCTATAAATGATATGACTTAGAAAGACGAGATCCAGTTGTTCTACTGACTATTTAATAAGTTTTAGGTATCACGCCTAATGCTTTCTTTATCGCACAGAACACGAGCTAAGTAGGGTATGGTTGAGTTTTTGTACTTTCTAGTGAGAGCATATAGTTTTCTATAAAGGCTTCTGGTTTTGCCTGATGAGATACAAGGGGAAAGCTGTGAATGAAGAGGATGTTATGAGTTAGATAGAATGGATTTTGCCCATTTTTACATGAATCCATATGCCTGTCGACCGGAATATTAACAAGCTGGTTAAGTGGCACGTTGCTTACCCTGCTGACAACCTTTAACATCCTGCGTAATAAGGTATAGTCTTTCTTCAGTAGCCCTGTAAAAACTAAGGGGAAACAATAGAGAATAATAGGCAGGATGCAAGAGTTGACGAATCGTAGCAGTAAGGGTTGGGTTATTCCAGAATGTCTTAACTTCTTGATGTAGAAGGTAAGACTGTCATTACTTATTTGATGAATACTAGGATTCTGTATTCTCTATATATTTCCAACGGTAAAATCAATTATTATAGCTTACAAATGTCCTCAAGGTGTACAACTGTCTGAATTCTCAGTGTTTTTCAAATATTCCTGTAGATAACCCAATAAAGCCAAGTACTATAAATACAGATACAAGGGGACTGATACACACCTCAATGTTTTTCTTTCTATGAAACCCCTCATGTAGAAAATATTAGACAGTGAAATAAAAATCATATTTTCATTAGAACACTGACTTAATGTGTTAGTTTAAGTAGTTGGATGCAAGTAAGTACATAGCCTTGGAGCCTCTTCATGTGACTTTCATCATTAAAATCATATTGTTCTAAGGGGATGACATAATGAATAAATGTTTTATGAAGCAAGATCTCATATTCTATTTGAAAAATTATGTTTCCCATTTAAAACATGTCTTTGAGAACTTTTAACTCCCTGAATTCAGGTAATCAAGCGTGTTGATATTGTAAATGATGTATAATTCTTTGATTCAAGAAGTTCAAATCAGCTGAAGTGTTTGTTTGCTTCTTACTACTTATATTCGACTTCACTCTACTGAAATTTGATACACTTAAATTTCATATACTTTCATGTGAAGATTTGTGTTCAGAATGACACCTTCAGTAGATTTTGAAAGCTTTAGCTGTGCTAACGGTCATCTCGATCATGGACAGAAAGCGGTATTAGAATAAGACTAAACATTTTTTTCCTTCACGTTCCCAGTGGAACGTATGGGCTCAAGCTAGTGGCTTGAAGTTTCTGAAGCAGTGTTTAGTTTTACAGGATGGGGTTGCTAGCTCCGTGCCCAACCTTTCCTCTCTACCAGCATTATTTCTGGCTTAGCGAGGTAAAGAAGTGCGTAGGCCGGGCACCGAACCCCGGAGTATGTGCATGGTCGGCAAGCGTCCTAACCACTGTGCCACCGACGCACCACCGTACCCAGGTACTATTCTTATATCAACAAAGTAATTTAACCACATTCTATGTATGTAACTTTTTAGGTCTTCTAATCCTGACAATAACCCTAACCTTTTCTGAAACTAATCCTAACGTGAAGATATCCCTAGACTAACTGTAATCTAACTCGAACCAACCCTAATATCGACTTTAGTAGGATGACCTAACCCTAACTTGTCCTTGGCTTAAACTGTAACTTAATCTTTCCCGAACCTAAGCTGAAACTTACCAGATATTCCATTTAATAGCACAACACTTCTATGAGGATATTTTATTGATGATGACAACATTATCAGTTAGGTTTCCCTAACTTGCTCAGTGAGCGTTTCACGGTCATTGGCGTGGTCGCACTCCATCGGTAATTAGTGGTGCTTAAAGTTTAACTTTGCCAAATATCCTCCCCAAAATGATGAGTTCATATATATAGTTAGATTTAAAAGGAGTTATCGCCAAACGCATTTATGTTATAAAACTGAATAATAATGAAGAAAGTAGACATTCTTGATGAGAACTAATCTACTTAAACACCATATGATATAGATGACAAAAGGAGTGTCAACATAAGTGTATGGATCTTTAAGTTAGGAGTTGTAGTTAAGATGTATAGCTTTCAGCAAAAGATTTCCACCAAAATCTTATAATCCATGGAGTGAAATGCTACCTTTAGGTAAAGAAATGCAGTTACTGCCTTACGTTTCTAGATATGTCGTGTTCCAGGATCTGAAGAAATGTAGATACCTGTAGGTCTGAAAGTAGTGTTTTTTGTTGGATGTCTTTACAGGTTGACAGGTCGAGTATCCAACGATCATGGTTCATGGAACTTTAGAAACTATATTTCTAAAATTGTTTTCCCTGTGATTAACACAGAGGTGCTTTTCTCCTTTCCATAACATTGAAACAATTAGTTGTTGAGGTCAATCAAAATGTCATATTTGACTCTCATACTAGAGCTTAGATTTTAGTCAGTTCAATAAATAGTCTTACTTTACCATCCATCAGTTCCCCATAGTTGAACAGCACATAAATGACTAACAACTGTTATCTAGTTGAATAAAGCCATTTTTCGTCTAGAACTGAACGTTACATGCATACCTACTAGGCCGCTAGAAATGACCTATGGATCCTCAGGTGCTCATAAGTTGATATGTACAGTCTAATTACTCTGGTCAGGTGAAGTAAAGTGATTGATAACACTTGAACTCTCTGTGCATTCCTTAAAAACTCGGCAGGCATTCATGCCGTGGGTCACTGAATTCTCGGCCACTGAGGCTTTTAAAAAAATGAAATATTTTCTGAAAGCTGTGGCATGTAGTTTAGAATGTATCTTCAGAGGACTAAATATTCTGTCTCATGAAATCAAATTCATAGTTAGTACTGACAACTTTCACTGGACTTCCATAGTATAAAAATTTGTGTCTTACCATTGTACCCTAAGTGCGTCGGTGGCATAGCGGTTAGGACGCTCGCCGACCATGCACATGGTCCGGGGTTCGATCCCCGGCCGGCGCACTCCTTAACTTCGCTAAGCCAGTAGTGAGACTGGTGAAGAGGAAAGGTTTGGCATTGGGCTAGCAACCCGATCCTGTAAAAATAATCACCACTGCTACAGAAACTTCAAGCATCTAGCTTGGAGCCCTATGTTCCACTGGGAACGTGCAGGAAAATAAAAAAAATTGTACCCTAAAGGGTTATTTTACAGACCCCAGCGGAGACCTATCATTCGCGACGTATTCATTGCGTTGGAATTTGTGCCAACTAAAGACCACCATAGGGTAAGTAGGAATTTGTTTTACTAACCTCTCCTTCATACAGTAGGAAGGTTAAACTGTAACAACAGAAGACAAGGGCCAGGCAACAGATCGTTTATTAAGGAAATCAGCACGCCGACGCACACCTGATATCTATGGTCGGCCTGCGAAATTTGGGCCACCGATATCCATGCTGAAAATTCCATACCTGTACCAAAAAAAATACAGTGTGGAATCAATCTGTAATCATAAATAAATAAAATAAAGTATTTATATATATATATATATATATATATATATATATTTCATGTACATTATTATAGCTTATTCAAGCAGACAAACACAGTCTTCTGATTGGTTGTTTCTTGCTCACGGTTATTCTGCACTGCTTGTGACTGGTTTCTCAGAAAGTTAAGTCATGTATCTGCGAATCGTATTTGCCCACGTTAAGTCTGCTATGATTGGTTGTTGAATCAGTCTTGTTCATATTTTCTCACGGCCAATAATAGCGACCTAGACATTGACGTACATTAATGTCTACCGATTGGCTAGCAGCCTGCTCTTACCACAAAACGACTGGTTAGTCGAGGGGAAAACTTCATTGCCGTCATACTTTTTCCATCAACAGTACAACTAACTGTTTTATGATGCCATTACGTGAAATTTAATTTGTTTCCTGAATCTTACTCGTTTCAGGCAAGTTGGTTCCCTGGATTTTACCAGCTTTGGGCTGCATGGGCACCTCCAAATGAGCGTGGACTTTTGATTGGATTCGCTTATGCAGGTAATATAGTTGATTAATAGGATCTGATATGTTATTGTATTTTTGGTGCGTTTTAGCTAGAGTTATGACACGTTACTACGTTTTGGAAATTTGGATACCCACTCTTTTATCGAACCTAAATAACTTGTACTGTCACCTCCATTTATTAAGGTAGCATTAATGTAGTGCATGCTTGTGGTGGTACGACCTGATGGACAAGTTTAAGTTCGGTGTTAAGATAAAAGAAAAGAAATCCTTTGCCAATTTACCACATTTAGGACAAATAGTGGGCAGTTGTGACCACCAGGATCCACCAGTTAGGGTGTGAGGACTAGTACTCACCAGTGGCATTGGGTGGTGGTAATGATATGTAACAAGAAATGACAGAAGGCAGAATTCCATCTTAGTGTTATAATGGTTGGCTGACTTCCCTCGTAATATTAGAATCCTGCGTCCGGTCTTCAGTGGGGGTGATGGTTGCCTATTGATAAGCATCCCAAACGAAGACGAAACAGTTATACGTGCTTCCTAGTTCCCAACAGTTCCAATAACTTATTTCACTCTGCGATCGAACTGGAAATATAAGTCATTTGATAATATTGGAAGTGCACATCGAATATATTCTAAATCATGAAATTCGACATGCATATCATTTTACCATTTGCTGTGAAGAATACTTTTGATTGAGAACCTATCAAGTCGCACCAAGACTAAACACTTTTCACAGAAATGCATATTGACGTTAATGTTTCAAATCATCAACTACTATTTTCGCAACACAAAAGTAGTGTGAGTTGTTTTTTTTTTTACGTGGTCAGTGATCGAAGATATTTTCTTGCTGCTGATAGTTGCTTAGATTATCAGCACAGATCCCAGTCTTTGACGTTTTAGATTAAATTTGTTGCTTATTATTATTGCTCCCTTGGGTTCCTAGTGGAACATAGGGCTTCAACTGCACGTCTCCATTTTCTTCTGTCTTCTGCTATACTTTTCGCCTGCATCCATGTTAATCCATATTCTTTCAACTCCTCTTCACACGATCTACTCCATGTCACCCTTGGACGTCCCACATGCCGCTTCCCTTTCGGGTTCCACTCGAGGGCTTGGCGCGCGATGTCACCCAGCGGCCTCCTCAGCGAGTGTCCGATCCATCTCCACTTTCTCCTGCATATTTGTTGGGCGATTGGTTCTTTCTTTGTTTGTTCCCATAATTCCTTGTTGGTGATTCTTTCAGGCCCGGCCATCTGATCTTCAGTATAGAGCGAAGACAGTTGTTGGTTGATAAAGGTCTGCAACAGGCTGTTGGAAATATTCTTTGTGACCCGCCCGCCAAGTTTCTGATCCATATAGAAGAACTGACTTGACTTTGTTTGTATTGAAGATCCGAATTTTGTTGTTGATGCTGAGTGACGAAGATTTCCAGATTGATTTCAGGCTGATGAATGTGTTTCTCGTCTTCCCGATTCTCGATTTGACATCCTCATCCGCTCCTCCTGTATTTGAGACAATGCTCCCTAGATAAGTGAATGAAGTAGCCTCTTTCAAATCCCTCCCGTTGATGGTGATTGACGTTGAATGTTGTTGCTGTTGTTGGTTGGTTATTTTCATAACCTCCGTCTAGTTCACCTATGTTCACCTGGAGTCCTGTCTTCGCCAGTTGCTTCTTCGACCAGTTTGTCGGTTTTCGCTTGTAAGTCTTCGATTTTGTGTGACATCAAAAATACATCATTCACACGCGAAATCCAGGTCTTCTAGGTTCTTTAGGTCGGTTCAGAATATCCCGGTCTGCTCGTTTCCCACTGTCTGACGCATAATCCAGTCCACCACAATTAGGAATATCATTGGTGATAGTAAGCACCCTTGTCTGACTCCTGTATTTACTCCAAACGCCTCGCTGAGTTTTCCGTTGTGGATCAATTGTCATGTGCCGTTGTAGTACAGTTGTTGAATAAGGTTGATGAATATTTGGGGTACGCCGCAGTACTCGAGTAGTTTCCAAATTACTTCGTGGTCGAAGGCAGCATTGAAGAAATCTATAATCTGCATATCTGTTTCACACGTGTTGGACAGCGCTCATCAATGACCTGTTTGAACTGATTCATCTGAAATAGCTGGATCAGCTTAGAGCCACATGGACTCAGGTTAGCTACTTGGTCATAGTAGTAATATATAGAATCAGTCAATAGAGATTGACAAAATTCTAGGTATGAACTCAACTGTTGTCCTCATATTCCTGTCAACTACAACAACTTCTTATAACTTGGTATATGAAATTGACATCAGTCTCATTGGTATCTGATTGAATGAAGAGGACTACAGAGGTTATTGGTGCTGAGTTGTTTTTATTGGGCTATTTATAAATACAACAACATCACAGTGAAAATACAATTTGTACTGACTATTTATCTTCTACTTCCTACTATCTTTCTCGTTTTACTTCTTCTACCCTAACCCCCTGTTGATTAAATGTTTTCTTCCTTTCTGTCCTGTCTGCGACTTCATCTATTTCTCTTCTTTGTTCTAAAGTTTCTGCGAAAAAAATCGCTTATAAGTTCTTGTTAGTAGTGCAGCCCACGCACTAGTACCGAGTATCATAACAATAATTCGTTTTTGCCTTCCAGGTGGAGTCTAAAACGTCTCTGTCATCACTCCTTCTTGACTCCACAAATACTCACAAGCTTTCATTTACTCTTTACATGATTTTCCCCGTGAATATCAGCCTGTCGCCTCCCGATTCGGGTTCTACTCGTGGGGTGAGAGAGTTTAAGAATTATTTCTGGTTGAAGGTCAAATTATGACAAACAACAAGATTCTTGAATAATCATTATCCAGACATTAATGAAAACAAAACACGTGGTTCAGTGAAGAGTCTCTTTTCGGCGGCGAATTCATTCACTTAGTTGTATACAACCACAATTATATATGTACTCATTTTTGTATGTGTGTTTGTACATTAATTTTGTCCGATAAAAATAAAAATAAGTAAGGGTTATTGTTGTCAAGATATTTTTAAAATGTGATGAGTAATCAAACTATAACTAGGGGGGTGCTGAAGATTGGTAAGAGGGTAGTGGTGATATGTTGTCAGAAAACATTTGTTAACACATAAAAGAAGTTGAGTAAACGTAACGTAGTGCAGTTACGTAACAAGATGAATAGTTTAATGAGTGAGTTGCGATTAAGATGCACATAGAAACAAATGAAAATCTGGGACTATGTCAGAGTTCTAAAAATTACAAATGTTATAAGGGGTTAGAAAAACGCACACACACACACAAACATCAAGTCAGCAGAAGTCAACAGAGTTGTTACCATGGTAGCAGAAGTGGTTTGATGATTTTCTTTTACATACATAACTCTGGTTCCTCAAAATGAATGGCTAAGGCTTCAAGAATACAAAGGAGACGAAAGCGTATTGCCTCTAGTAGCTTGTTCACTTTGTATATCACTTTGAAGGATGAGGCGTTTGTTGAGACGGAATAACCAGTGTTGACGAGATGTTCGATTATCGCACTCCTTATACAGTCAATATTACCTTTTTGTAGCCATGCGGGATAGAATTGTTGAAACCTTTTGGACAGGATACGCGTCGAACGACGAATATACCTGACTCCACAGCAACAGGTGAACTGATCTATACACACAGAAGTGAACAGATGCAGGAACTTTTCCTTAAGGCTTCTGCGGATTAGTGAGTGACTGGTGAACACTACTCTTAGCGTCGCTGAGAAGAATGTTCTTTTCAACGATGCTGATTTTCTTCTCTTGAGGATATCACAAGTTAAGTCTCCCGTGAAATCCAGATTCATGTAAAGTATCCTTTCTTGAAACAAGTGATGTTTTGTTTCTCTGGACCTTTGGTTCGACTACAGATACTGATTGAAAACGTAATAATAGGAAATATAAACAGGACGTTTTTATAGGGAATGTGATCGGATAATAATTAATAAAACAACTGACTGTTTATGTTGTCCAGGGCAAAGGTGTCGGTGGTTCAGCAGTAAGACGCTCACCAACCACGCACTTGGTCCAGGGTTCGATCCCCGGTTGACGCACTCCCAGAACTCACTTAACCGGTAGTAAGGCTGGTAAAGAGTAGGGTACGGCATAAGGCTAGCTACCCCACCTTGTAAAAGTAAAAAACTGCTATCTTTTTTTTGTTGACAATAACAATTTTGCTTTATTCCAGAAACAGTACTTGTGGTACAGTGTGGAATTTTCCTCTTAACTTTAAAGCTCTAGCGTGAAGCCCTATGTTCCACTGGGAACGTGAAGGAATAAAAAAAAGAACAAAGGTAAAGATTAGGCATATAAAGTCTTGGCTTAAATTTTTGGATCGCTAGGGCTCCAGCTTTATACAGATGTCTTGATCCGACTCCCTTTGAGAGGTTTGGTCGAATCTTGGATAGAGCTTTCTATTCGAAAGAAGTGCGTTCAACCTTCGTTCTTATCACGGCCATCATACACAGTCAGTTCTCTGAATAATTATTACCCGATTACGTTCCATATAAAAACTTCTTGTTTATTTGTCTCATTATTATGTTTTTAATCTGTATTTGTAATCCTATTATCTGTCATGATTTGACTCTCGACCGGGAATAGTTCTGGAACGCACAAATGTCAAGCCTAGCTGGTGATTTCGCCGACAAGAATATTTCGCTGGTTGCCACTCGTCTTCTTCATGTTTCTTATTGAAAGAAAAATTCTTTTTCCTCCATGTGTTTGAATAATTTAAGGTGTGATCACCACTGTTTGTCGGTGGCACAGTGGTTAGGACTCTCACCGACCATGCACATGGTCCGGGTTCGAGCCCACGCCGACTCACACCTAATATCTATGGTCCGCCTGCGAAATTCGGGCTAGCGATATCCACGCTGAAAATTCCACACTTGTACCAAAAATACGGTGTGGAATCAAGCTGTAACCAAAAAATAAAAAAAAATAAAATAAAAAAATAAAATTCTGTTTTTCTTCTGTTCTTTTTGTATAAATAGGGATTCATATTGGCAGCGCCATTACAATGCCAATTACTGCAGCTTTGTGTCAAACATCAATTGGATGGTCATTAGTATTCTATTTTTATGGTGAGTTTATTCTGTTGTTTCTCGATGTCACGTTTTGTATGCAGATTCCAGAAAATTCACGATATATATGTTGAGCGGATTTTTTATAAGATGTTAATTATTTAAATTGTGGTTTTCATTTCCTCCTGATGACTGATTTTTACTTTGGACGGAAATACTTCGTCTCTGTTGACATGTGTTGGCTCATGGTATTGAGGCCTCAAAGAGGTGGATAGATCTTTGGAGTTTGAAACGACAGATGGTGGGTCCCAGTTTCAGTGGGAACGCTGTCACTCACTGGAGATGAGTGCTCAACACAGCGAAGTGGGTGTTATGGATCCCATTCCCTCGGGTTCTGAGTGAAATCCAGGACTTTATCCATACATCTGTATTTCATCCTGTTTTCTGTAGTTCTGTTTAGCTGGCTTCACGACTGCTCATAAGCTGTGATCCGATCCTCACACTATCTCCCTCCTCTATGTCCCTCTTACACCCATACCTAACTTGTCGTTTCCAAAGCGGCTTCCATTCAGTGGCTTGGTGTACGACGTCACTCAATGGTCTTCTCAGCATGCGTCCAATCCATCTCCACCTCTTTCAGCATATATGTTTGACAACAGGTTCTTGGTTGGTCAGTTCCCACTGTTCCTTGTTGTCAGTCGTTTGTGGTCGGCCATCTGGTTTTCGGTGTCGAGTGAAATGAACATCTGTTGATAAAAGTTTGCAATAGCCTGTCAGAAATGTTCTTAGTGACGTAACTGCCGAGTCTCTAAAACACACAGAATAACTGAATGAATTAACATTGTTGTTGGAAAACAGAATATTATTCTTTATACTGATTGTAACGGATTTCCAAACCGATTTCAGAGTAGCGAATGTTTTTCTTGCTTTTTCTATCTGTCTTTGATCATAGGTGCCTGCGTTCTATCTCCCGTGTTAACTGGTATAATAGGGTGAGCAATATTAAGCTTAAGCGTCAAGTGCTAGGTAAGGAGGGGAAATCAATCGACGACGCTGTGAAGTTACATCAACTGAGATGGTTAGGACATGGGTTATGAATCCCTAGTCATCGCCTTCCTCGACGGGCAATGTTAGCTGACATAAGGTCAGGTTGAAAAAGAGCTAGAAGCGGTCAAACCAAAACATGGCACCAGTCAATGAAATCTACAACAGTTAGTCTAAGCCACGTAGGAAGGTGTAGGCTTCCTGGTTGGGGTCCTCAGGACGGTAGAAACCAATGACTGGGGATAATCGGTGATATGGCTCAAAATCGTCCTCAGTGGCACAGATGCATCCACTCCTTATGACTTGTCATATTCAGTGAAACTATATTGTTCTTCATTATTACTATTCCTTTGTCTCATATCCCCGTCTACTGTCTCTATTTTGCATTTCTTTTACTTTCTTCTGTTGCTTTGTGTGGCGAGTGAAGTGTGGCGACTTGAACTGCTGCACATCGGTGCAAAGTTCTATGTCGAAAACGGACAGACTATGCTGTCTTGCTTTTCCTATCCTGCCTTTGAAATTCTCATCCGTGCCACCTATATTTGAAACTAAGTTGCTCAAATAAATGGGAGAAGCGGTCTCGTTCATATTCCCTCCGTTGGTAGTGACAGATGCAGGCTGATGTTGTCGTCGTTAACTGGTTGATAATCTTTATCACCTTTATCTCTCTCTCCCTTCCATCGCTAGCTACCATCAAACAAGTGAAGGCTTATACAGAATGTATTAACAATTTGTTTGATATAAAAAATATACTAAAATATCATATAAATAAGACAGTTTTATCTACCTTCCTTTCTGTTTTCACTACGTATCCCATGTTCACAATATACGAATGTACATTTATCACTGTACTAGGCAAAAATATGCGTACACTTTCCTGAAGACGTAGTATTCATATGTACATATCTACTGACTGGTCCTCTTTTACATCTAAATGTGATTTCATGTATTGGTTTTGCAGGGATTTTGTTTGATTGCATGGAAGATTTCATCATAAGCTGACATTGGTTACAGAACCATTGGAAAACCTGGGAGTACTGGACAGCTATTTCGTCCAGGTAATCTTCAGCAGTACGCACCCGTTGAGGTTCGAACCATAAGGTCCTGAGTTCGAATTCTGGTAGGTGCGTACTGATGAAGAGTCCCAAACTAGGAGGAAACAACTGTTCAGTACTCCCAGGTTTTCCAGTGGTTCTCTAACTGATATCAGCTCATAAATGTGTTTTAGCACAAGAATTTATCATCAATACTCATCGATAACACAGTTGAGTAGTTGAGTCGATGACTAGCTAGCCAGTTTACAACTCATTCGTTCATTGACGGTCCATTGACTGATAATTTCAACCTTCAGCCTCTTAGAGAAATACTAATCACTACATCTCTACTGTTATCTATGAGTCATTGTCTTTATGCACTGTTTTCTTGATACACTTTTCCAAAGAATAAAACTAAAGACAAAACAGTGTCTTCATGTGCCTGCTCTTTGAATATTCTTTTTGTGATGAAATCTGTTCAAGGGTCAACAAAAATAAGTGACTTTTGAGACTTTTCATTAGTACGCCCCCATGGGGGTTCGAACCCTATACCTTCCGGTTACAAGGTGGATGCGTACTGATGAAGAGCCACAAACTAGGCTGGCGAAACAGCTAGCTGTCCAGTACTCCCAGGCGGTTTTCTAATAGTTCTCTAACCGATGTCAACTCATGATGAAATCTTGTGACCAATCAAATCCTTGCAAACCATCACTTGAATGAGTAACTTTTGTCTATTAATCTATCCTTCTGTAGTTATATTTCTTGGAAAAACCAGCATTTTCTCGTTTGATCTACAATTTTTTCCCATCAGTGGATGTGAAATCAAGTGAATTTATAACTGTCGCCTGATTTCAACTGGGATCTCTATTTATCATGTTTTCCTATGTATATAGTCACTTGAAATTTCCTTATCACCATTACGATAATTGAGAAGGCATAGGTTTTTTTATCTAATTCAATGAGTTATTCACTCTTTGCTTTACAAGACAGACTATATGTGTGAAACTTGGGCATTGTGGTAGTAAGTAATTCCATATTAGTTTGTTTATTAGATATATCACACAGTGAGTGAAACAGTATCATTTACTGGATGACGTTTCGAACAAAGATTATTGTTCATAATCATTTCATCAATTATAACCACGCGACTTCGAAACTTGAGTTTTATAGTTTTCTTTGTTCTCTCCTATTTGTCGTCGTTGGGGTAGTGGGATTTTCCAGATATCTGGGTGGACAGGTGTTGAATCATTCCTATTAAACGTGTTAGTTCGCAGTTGATTCGATAAACAAAGCTTCTGTTATCAATCTCACCCTCCACCCTGTGACATTAGATTTAAAAACTGTCATCCTATCCCATCCTATTGTATGGTTGTGTGTAACTGCATGTAGTGCCATAGCTGAACTATTCTCTAGATTTCTTATCTTATTTGGGTCAACCAATCTAGATTTTGCTAGGTTTTTATGTTCGGTTAGTCTGACTGCCCCTGTTCTACTAGTTTGACCTATGTATTTGACCTGACAATCATTCCAGCAGGGTATTAGATAAACTAATTTGTTTTGTTTTAAAGGCTCCGCAGGATTGATCTTTTAAACGACAAAGCTTGTTTCTAATTGAGTTTGTGGGTTTGAATGCCAGCCACTTTTATTCCTGTCTTGTTAAGAATTCTGCGTAAGGTTCCCGAGGTTCCTTCCTTGTATGGAATTACTACTGATGATTTAAACTCCTTATTGTTGGTGTCGTCATTAATATTATTATTATTTTTATCACTATTATTATTATCATTATTATTATTATCACTATCGCTACTATAATTATTCAAAACAAAACAGTTTAGTTTATTAATACCCTGCTGGAATGATTGTCAGGTCAAATACATAGGTCAAACTAGTAGAACAGGGGCAGTCAGACTAGCTGAAAATAAAAACCTAGCAGCAAAATCTAGATTAGTTGACCCGAATAAGATAAGAAATCTAGAGAATAGTTCAGCTATAGCACTACATGCAGTTACACACAACCATACAATAGGATGGGATAGGATGACAGTTTTTAAATCTAATGTCACAGGGTGGAGGGTGAGATTGATAACAGAAGCTTTGTTTATCGAATCAACTGCGAACTAACACGTTTAATAGGAATGATTCAACACCTGTCCACCCAGATATCTGGAAAATCCCACTACCCCAACGACGACAAATAGGAGAGAACAAAGAAAACTATAAAACTCAAGTTTCGAAGTCGCGTGGTTATAATTGATGAAATGATTATGAACAATAATCTTTGTTCGAAACGTCATCCAGTAAATGATACTGTTTCACTCACTGTGTGATATATCTAATAAACAAACTAATATGGAATTACATACATAGGACTTTAATGGCTGATGTCCATTCTACTTGGCTCTTAGTCATCACTTTCAAGTGGCCCTACAACTGCCTACAAGCTTTCATTTCTTCTCTAAATAATCTTTTCATTGTCATCATCGTACGCCCAATTCGTTTCTTCATATTCGGGTTCCATCCTAGGGCATGATTTGATAGGTCACACCAAAATCTCTCCAGCGGATGTCTGATTCGTCTTTATTTCTTTCTGCATGTTTGTTGTACAACAGGTTCTGGCTTGGTTTGCTTGATTCCACAGTTCCTTGTTACTTATTCGTACTATTCATCTGATCTGTTGATGAAAGTCTACAGTGTGTAATGAATACCTGTAGCAAACTGTATAATATTTTTGATGACAGATTAAAATAACTTACAGAACCATTGAAAAACACCAGGGAGTATTGGTTAGCTGTTTTATGCTAGTTTGGGATTCGTCCTCAGTATGTCCTCATGACCCACGAGGTGTGGTGTTAGGATAAGCACTCATCGACTACAGTGGATGGCAGTCGTGCTTAAGTCTTGAACTGACAGAAGTTAGAATATCTGGGCCATTGGATTTCGTCTCAGTCGCTGAATAGTCAGTCAGTGAACTTGCCTTGCAACTTGAAGGTCCTGGGTTCGAAACCCGGTAGTAATATATATATTTGTGGATAGACTTCTCTAATTTGTCTCTTATGTGCTTTCATTACATGATTTTTTTCTCTTTTGTTTTTGAAAAACAGGCGCTATTAGTTTTGCTTATTGCATTGTCTGGTTTATATTTGTCTACGATGAACCTAAACTACATCCAAGAATATCTACTAAAGAAAAACTTTATTTAGAATCCTGTTGTCCAGTTATAAAAAAGAGGAGTGGAAAACAAAAAGTAAGTATTCAGTATATGATATTAAAAGTTTAAGCAGAGGTAGTGTTGTTTTTTAAGAGAAAAGGGCCAGGAGATGCAGTAAAGACAGCTATCTTTTCGGCGATTTTATTCTTAAAAGCAGATATACAATAGCATTTAAACACATATGTTCATTATTGTTCCCTGGGGTTCCTTGTGGAACACAAAGCTTCAATAACACATCGCCACTTTGTCCTCTTTAGCTGGGAAAACGATTGCCCATAATCTTTCATCTCCTCCATATCACCCTTGCATTGACGATCAACTCGTTGCTGCTTCCCATTCGGATTCCTGCCTAGGAATAGGCTATCGTGCGATGCCATTCGACTGTCTCCTCGCCTAGTTTACTAGTTCACCATTTTTCTAGCCGGTCCCAATCCCAGGGCTGTGTGTAGGGCTAGCGGCGCTACCTCGGAAAACCAGTCAAACTATTACAGGAACTTCAACGCACAAGAAAAATATTTAAAAAAAATGCAAAATACGTATCTTTACACAGATAGAGTTATAATTCACTGTTACATAATAACAAAAGAGGTTAAAATTGCAAATAATTTCCAACTTGATATGAAAGTTCAAAGGTGAGAATATCGATTACAAGGGGTTAAGAAACAAAATTACACAGGATTAGAATACGATGAGCATGGAAACAAATTGCGAGAATTGGTTTTTATAAATGAAATGAGAAAAAGTGAGGGGAATGAAACATACACATAACGACAAACGAAAACTAGGGCGTCGAAACGAACTAGATTCACGGTAGGTGTAGTGATTAGAGTCGTTTGTTTTAAACAGATAGCTCTGGCTTTTCGATGTACTTGGCAACAGCTTCTGTAGTCTAAAGAAGTCGGGAACACATTGGCCTTGGTAGATTTTTATTTACTTTGTAAATGACCCAGAATGATTAGTAGTTAGTTAAGATGAGGTGTTCAATTATGTCACTTCTGACTGGAACAGTGCCTTCTGTTTTCAACCGTGATGAGCAGTGTTCTTTGACACTTTTTGAAAGGGCCCACATAAAACGACCTATATACCGAGCTTCGCACAAGCAGGTGGACTGAAATATGCATTTTAAAGTTTGTCCTTCATATTGTTTAGAAGCAGCGGGCGGCTGGGGAATATCACCCTTAGAGTTGCTGTCAGAAAATTCTTGTATAAGGAACTAGAGATTCTCTTTTTCAAGATATCCGCAGCTAAGTCTCCACTGAAGTCCAGATTCAGATATGGCATTTTCCTTGGAATTGAAGTATATTCGTCTCTTTTTGGCTTTGATGTCATCTTCCTCTCCACGAAACGTGTTGAGTTGGATCATTACACTCACGCATACTAACCTTACCTCTTTTCTAGGATTACTAATGATTAGTAGACTAGACTTGGTTTTTGACTGTTAATCATATACTAATTCAACTGAATCGGAAGTTTTACATCAGACCAGACTGTGATTGGATAAATGAGATCGGAGTCTTTGACCAGCAATCCACGTTGACATATGGGTAGACACACCATCAGGCACTTGCCCAGTTCATCGGTACTCACCCAAGGCCGCACCAGCTATCGGACGCAGGGCCTTCACGTCAAAAGAGTGATCGTATATCACTCAGCCACTAGGACGGAATCCAGTGAGCGGCGGATCACTTCTAACTTCTGCCAGTGATACTAGTGTTCCCAGGTGAGTCACTACAGGGTGAAGTTGCCAGAAGCACAGGTGGTAAGTTGTGATCAGAGGTGTTCAGTAAGTTGGGTGTGTGGACAAATACTCACCTATGACACTAGGGTGACAGTCGTGCTATATATAGTGAACTGCCAGAATCTAGAAGTGGTGAACCATTGGATTCCGTCCAAGTGGCTGTATGTGTACAAGTTCGCTTCGTAACCTGAAGGTCCTGGTTTCAACTCCTTATGGGGTCATGGATGCATACTGTTGAAGAGTTCGAAAATAGGACGAAATATACGTCCAGTAAACTGTGGTCTTCAGTGGTTCTTGGAATGATATCATTTCATGATCTAACCTGAAATCAGTAAAATTCTTGGGATCCTAAACCTGAAACTAAAACTATAAGTTTACTAGTAATTGAATATAATTACCTTATATGTATTCGAGCAACGCATAAACATAGACGAGACTGTTTAACCCTTTAGGTTAGTATGAGTGGGTTTCTAACTACCAACATTAGTTATAATGCTAGAGAAGATTTTTACCTGAAGTAAATGATTCCGGTGAGTTGGTAGTGGGGTGACAGAGTTCTCAACAACCACACATGGGTTCAAGGTTCGATTTCTGGTAGTCTCCCAACAAAACCTCACCCGATTGGCCAGCAGTAAATCCGGTAAAGAAGGAAGATCAGGCATGAAGCTAACCATATCGCCCTTAAGAAAGTGCCATCACCGCTGAAATGTCAAAACTCAAGTTTGAAGTTTTATGTTCCACACGGAATGCTAAAGGATGAAGAAAAAGTGATGATTCTGGTAAAGTTAGAGCTGAAAACACCGTTTAAAAGTGCAGTCAAAGCTTTCAAACTATAAACTGCCTGTGTTCAAATAAATGTAGAACAAAATTTTAGAAGTTATGGGGAGAGTCAGACAGTTATTTTCAGGTTATCGATTAATTTACCCGTATCTCTGAAAGCCATTTATTTATTGGATGTGACAGTTAACGAAGCATGCACCAAAGTTGGAAAGCTGACATATTTAGACTTACTTAAGCATCCTATAAGTGTGTCAGTGACGCAGCGCCGTAGAGTACTCGCCGACCACGCGGGTGGTCCGGGCAGGGATTACCAGCCACCGATGCACTCCTTTACCTCCCTAAGCGAGTAATAAGACTGGTAAAGAGGAAAGGTTTGGCATGAAGCTAGCAGCAACCCTATCCTGTAAAAATAAACATCACTGCTATTGAAACTTCAAGCCTCTAGGTTGAAGCCCTCAATGTTCCACTGGGAACGTAAAGAAATAAGAAAAGCGTCCTATATCATGAATTGACTGGAATCGGAATTCATAGGCTGTCGATTCGGGTCCTAGTGATCTAATGACCTGTCAAACCAACTTGTAATCAAGTGCTGAAGAATCCTGAACTAGGCGTAAGAAGTTGTTCGGTTCTTCGTGGTTTTCCGGCAGTTCTCTAACTGATGTCAGCTCATGACCAAATCCATTGTTAAGCAGCCTAATCCCAGTTACACCAAGCTTGATTAAATCGACTTTATTTAGAAACTTGTTACATACGTTTTCATCAACCCGTTATATTTTAATGGAATTTGCTTATAAAAAAATTATTTTCATGATTTAAATTTTTTATAATTTCATTTATTTATTTATTTAAAAATTAATTTTTTATTTATTTCATAGATTCCTCTAAAATCCATTTTAACGTCATTACCTGTTTGGGCGTTTGTTGCTGTCAACACGGGACTGGACTGGAATTTGTATACATTTCTGACTAGTGTACCAACGTATATGCGTGAAGTATTAAAGTTTGATTTTCAGCGGGTATGTATATATTCTTTTGCTCTCTTGATTCCTGAATTTTGTTTTTTTTTGTGAAGAAGGTATTCTGTTTTCTCCTTTTATGCGCATTTTACAAAAAGCATTTGAATGTTTTCGATAATATAGATTCCGCTTCCTGATGTCAGCTCATCATGATATCCTCCATTCAATCAAATCAAACCAAAAAATCCCTACAAAACCAATACTTGAAAATTAATCTGATGCTCACTAGTGACTGGCCCTATTCAGACTGTTAACCTGGGGGTCTAGTGGGAAGCCGTGACCAGTAGGGCACAGCAGGTTGAAAATGAGGCAGTAACTCATCGAAGAAGACATTGCGAACTGGTCACGCTATGTCGTGAATTGGCAGAGGTTAGAATTCAAGGACCATTGGATCGGGTCCCAGTGGCTCAATGGTCTACGAGCTAGCTCTCTTTGTAGCCAGAAGGTGCTGGGTTCGAACCCCGGTGTGTACGTACTGATGAAGAGTCCCAAACTAGGACGAAACAGCTGTCCAGTACTCCCGGGTTCTCCAATGGTTCTCTAACCAATGTCAGCTCATGATGAAATCCTCCATTCATTTAAATAAGTGGTCTGTTTGACGCTTTATATGGCGATTAGAAGAACAAGCGAAAATAGTGTGCTGTTGCATTCCGTTTACTAATTGTTATGACATTAGTTAGACAACCATCAAGTCACATAAGAGAACGGTTGCTCTTCGATGATGTTGGCTGGCGGTTGCGATTTTTGTATGGCTAATTGAAAGAAGTTGGAATTCATGGGACACTGGATAGGCTCTCATTGGCTGAATGGTCTATGAGCTTGCCTTGTAACAGGAAGGTCCTAGATTTTTAAGCCCAGTGGGGGCGCTCTGATGAAGAGTCCTAAATGAGGACGAAACGGCTATACAGGACAACGTCGTTAACTCGTGATCAAATTAGTAGCTAATGGAATCCCTGCAAACTAACACTAGCTGGACATCCCTGTTGTCGACTAGTAGTGCTGGCCAAACAGCTAGATCAAAATCATCTAAACACCGGACTGTCATTTAGGTCGTTTGGTGGTGTACCCGGTTTGCAAAATGATCCAACTTTCTGGCCACACGCATTTATTTACGTGTAATAAATAACATAATAGGATGGGATAAGACAGAAGTATTCAAAAGTAGTATATAATTAGGCAGGCAAAGAGACAGGTTAATCGCCGAACTTTTGTCCATTATATTCAACACTAAATGTGTGCAGTCGGAATGGGACAAGACATTCAGGATAAGTGGACTATTGTGAAAGAAACACAAGGCAGTCACGCTGTCTAAAGGAGGATATAAAGTCACGCGGATACATTAATATGATTAAGATCAATAAATTCTGCTCGAATCATCAACCAGTTATTAGTACCGTATCACCATCGTGAATGACAGTGAAATTTGCTGTTGAAGTCCTATGTTCCAGTCGGAGCCCAAGAGAATAATAATAACAATTACAGTGTGTTATGTCATATAAATCTGTCCAGTATAAGGATGGTTGAACAATTCCATCATGAGCTGACATTAGTTATAGAAACATTGGAGAACCAGATGGGAGTACTGGATAGCCAGCTGTTTCACAAGCCTAGTTTTTGACTCTTCACAGTACAAATACACCACAAGGGTTCGAACCCAAGACCTTCTGGTTACAAGGCTAGCCAGCTCGTAGACCATTAAGACACTGGGACACAATTCAATTGCCAGCCCATGAACTCGAACTTCTCCCAATTCATAGCATAGCGCGACTACTTCTCAATGTCTTCTTCGATGATTTACTGCCTCACCTTCAACCTGCTGTACCTTACTGGTCATGGCTTCCTACTAGAACTCCAGGTAGATGTCTAAACAGGAACATTTGCTAGTGAGCATCAGATTTATTTTCAAGTATTGGTTTTTGTAGGGATATTTTGGTTTGATTGGTTGGAGGATTTCCTCACGAGAACCAATGGAAGTTCTGTCAAGTTTTCCGATGGTTTTTTAATTGATATCAGCTCATGATGAAATCCTCCAACCAGTCAAACAAAAAATCACTACAAAAACCAATACTTGATAATATAAAGTTTTTTAATAATAATAATAATAATAATAATAAAGTGCTTTATTCCAAAACAGTACTTGTGATACAGAATGGAATTCTCAGCAAATTTACTACAGTATTGTATCCAATTGGTACAATAACAATAAATAAAATTCTACATAGATTAAGGGTAATCTCAGTTCATTATGACGACAACATATTGGCATGTCAGTAGCAAAGCCAAAATTGGACAGAGTGTTTGAAGGTGTTAGAAAAGCAGCTGCTATCATATTTACTGGCGTAAGCAGAAGAAAGAAACAAAGGAGCACATAACAGAGAAAAAAGATGGAGAAAAGGAAAAGAAAGAAAACATTCTACCAATAAAAGATATGAATTAGAAAGACGAGATCCAGTTGTTCTACTGACTATTTAATAAGTTATAGGTATCACGCCTAATGCGTCATCCAATAATAATCATAATACCATTAAAAGGAATGCTAAATTAAATCTGTATGAAGGACACTTGGTTGCCTCAAGTGTATTTCTGTAAATCAACTTCAACTGGCTGACATAATTTCATCAGTCGATGAACTTTCATCTACTAAAAATTTGTGTGATTTTGTATTTTTGTTATCACAGAGTTAAAGTTTATCTATAGTACTTTTTGTCTTTCTAATATTTGAGGGTTTGAGCGTGTATTTTCGAAATAAACCACAATTAGGCATCAATTGTTGATGTGGGAAAAAATATGCTTCCGCAAAAGCAGTCGTGAAAACAACCTCCAGAATGACTTGAAAGGGATATCATTGACTGGGAAATAACATTGAAAGCATTCTCTCTGAAGTACACTACTACTACTATTACTATTACCAATACTAATACGCACAGTTACATTTCTCATTATTACACTAAAACCCAGAAAACGCACACCTAGAATCATACTACAAAACGACCAGATTATGATCATGAAAAAGGAGAATAACTAACTGAAGAAGATATGTGATACCCAGTCATTCAAAGGTAATAGTGATTGAGTGGTAGAATGAATGCTTGCCAACCATGCAAGTATTCCGGATTCAGTTTCCGACAGAGGTACACCTTAAACCTCGTCTAGCTTACCTAGTCGATAGTAAGATCCGAAAAATACAGAAGGCTGAATGTGAGGCTGTGTGTTATCCCACCTTGTAAAAGATAAAACCAGCACTGATGAAACTTCTCAGCCTTAAAGAACGAAAGAAAAGATAGATATTGTGAATATTTTCGAGTCATATTATCAAAAGTCGTCAGTTAATGTTTCTTGAATATGCAAAAGAATCCATTTTCAGACAGCCTTCACCACTGCATATTACTAAAATTGACAGTCAGGAAATATACAGATTAGTGAAATATCTTGGCTTGATCAGCTTTTAATCCTTTGAACTCCTACTCCACTAACTGTCTTAATAGATCAAAGTCTGTAACCTTAACTGCAAAGTTAGCTTCATCTTAATCTTGCTGAAAATTTCTCTCTACCTAATAAGATTGAGTAAAAGAAGGCAGTTGTGGTCTTCTCACATCTTTTTACAATGACCATTTCTTGTAATTAATAAAAAAATTTAGTTACAGGATTTCATTATGACCTGACATTAGTTAGAGAAACATTGGAGAACCAGATGGGAGTACTGGATAGCCAGGTGTTTCGTCAGCCTGGCTTAGGACTCTTCACAGTACAAACACACCACAAGGTCACGAACCTGGGGCCTTCCGGTTGCAAGGCTAGTCAGCTCGTAGACCACTAAGCCACTGGGACCCAATCCAACAGCCAGCCCATGAATTCCAACTTCTGACAATTCAAGACATAGCGCGTTCGCTAGCCAGTATCTTCGGCGAGTATTTGTCGTGACACCCGGTGGGTGCGTACCGCTGAAGAGTACCAAATTAGTCTGACGGAGCAGTTTTCCAGTACTCCCAGGTTTTCAAAAGAGTGGATATTGAACAAAGTGTACTCTTTTCGATAAATTCATCATCAGGATATACATTATAGTGAATGAATGAGTTAGTGTTATGAACGACATTAATGTTTAAATAACATCAAATCAATAATCACATTGATAGATTACAGCTGAATCGCATCAACATAAAATAAGCTGAGTGTCAGAAGAATTAGGAAGGATAATATTACAAATTCATGAGTTTATAGCTTCTGCTGAAGGCCAGGGCAGTAGTAGGGTCTGGACTTGCTTCTTTTGGACACAGAGTTCAGGTTGTTTGAGGCGAATTGCAATAGCCTCTGTTGTTTGGAGCCTACGGTGCTTCGAAGTTTTTGGTAATTTATTTGGCACCCGGTATAATATAGAGAAGGATTCATCTACGCTGCCTTTGTGGCATGTTTGCACCAGGTGTTCCAATATCGAGTTGTTAATAGTTTTCACTACACCTTTACTTAGCCATGTTGGGAGATGTTCTCGAGAGAGCGCGAAAAATCAAGTTCCTAGAGCAACGGCCAATACAACTCGCTCCACGACAAGCTCAGTTGAATTGGTAGATGCAATCTAAAGTGGCTAGTTTAGGAACTTCATCTTTCAGTCGAGGAATCACCATCGGTTGTGTAGAGAATAAGACGTGTAGTTCACCGCCAGCATTAAAAGTTCTTTGAACTGATTTTCTTAATTTCTTCGCAACTATCTCGCTTGGTATATCATCCATGAATTGTAGTCGTATATAAAGAGGCTTCTTTTTTTACAGATAGTGAGTAGTCCTTTTCTGTATCTTTGTCATATGTTTCTTGATAAATTTTTCAGGATAGCCATTTTCAATCAAAGTATCATACACAATGCTTAATTCATCTTCAATTACTTCTTCTGAGCATATAGCTCTAACTCTGTGACTGAGGGTCTTCACTAAATTTCTTTTATACTTGATGGGAAAGAAGCTGTGAAAATGTGTATATTGTCCTGTCCCAGTGCTTTTTCTATGCAAATT